GCAGGTCTGGGGTAATGAATTAACCCCAACGGCGGAGGTGCGGGGCTCGGGCCCTTCATGCTCCATCTGCCGCCGCGGGGCTGAGCCTGCTTTGGTCGGTGGCTCCCCGCTCCCGGGGACGCTCTTTCAGACCGGAGGGGCTCGGGGTTGTCGTTAATTCTTTCACCTCTGTGAAGCCGCAAGCAGCAGCTGGTGCGGCCTTCCCCTACCCCTACCTTTTGTTAATTCCCGAGCCGCGGGGCTGGGAGCCGGCCGGCGGGGGCACTGCCCGGGACCCTCGGGCCGTGGCTCCCACCAGAACCGGAGCCGGAGCCGAAGCCGCAGCTCTTTGTCCGCCCCGGCCGCAGACCAGAGCCGGGCCTCTTCGTCCGCCCCGGCCGCAGCCGGAACCGGAGTCGGGCCTCTTTGTCCGCCCCGGCCGTCCTCCGCTGAGGAGATTCAAACGGCGGCCCCGCCCGCCCAGTCTGCCCTGGCCCCTCCCAGCAACAGGCGGGACCCCGCTGGGATTGGCGGAGGCAGCAGGCAGGCGCTGCTATTGGCTGAGCGAGGCGGTCCGGGACGCGGGGGAGGAGGGCCAGGGTGTTATACGGCGTAGGGGAGCGGCCGCCATTTTGTGTAGGAGAGTGAGGGGTAGCGGTGGGTGCTAGCGGGGCGGTCTGGGCTGTGCTTGGCTGGGGGGTGCCGGAGAGTGGCGGCGGAGGAGCTGCGGGTCCGGGTTCCGCAGGAACGCGAGTGTGTCTGTGCTTGTGGGCGAAGGAAACAGACAGAAGTCGGTAAGGGAGGAGCGGTGCGGGCCGGGCCGGGCGCTGTCGCCGCCATGTTGTGCTCACTGAGGGGCCCCATTGTTGGGGATGCGGGGCCGGGGGGGACGAGGGGAGGAAGTCTGGAGACGAACAGATGGGAGCGGTAAGGGCCGCCCCGGTGGGGTGACGACGTTACCGCGGGCCTGGGCTTGAGTCGCGACAAGGCGAAGGGTTTGGGAGAGCCGGGGGTGCTGTGGCCGAAGTGACAGCGGCTGGAGGAGGCGGAACCATCGGGGTGGCTTGAGCTTTCCGAAGAGAAAGCGAGGATGGGCCCTGGGCTGGGCAGGAAATCACTGTACGGGCTGCTGAGGAGTTACTGTGCTGAGGGAGGGGAAGAGGCAGCCGGGGGGCAGGAGGGGAGCGCTGCGCAGCGTCCGGAGGGGGCGCGGTCGGCTCGCGGGGGCAGGCGGCAGGGATCTGGGGGTGGTTCGTGCTCAGGGGCGATGCCCTCGAGGGTTCATCCCAAAGCGTTTTCCGTTGCTTCCTTCCCCCAAACAGTTGAGGTTCTTGCTCGTCCATTAAAATCCTTTAGGTGTGTAGAGAGAGCATGAAGAGTGCCTCTCGTGATATGCTAAGTATGATTGTGAAGCTTATACAAGTAGAATAAGGTAAATACTACCGTGTGTCTTCAGTTTGAACTGTCTTGTCATCCTTCACGAGCGAGAGACAGCTGACTATGGATTCTCTGAATTATTTTAGCTTTTTGTTTCCCCGTCGGATTTGAAAGGGAAAGAGTTTTCCTTAACCTGAACTCAAACTTCATTCCTGTTTATGCAGTGGGACTTCTCCCTTGGAGCGCCTGTGCCGAGAATCCGATGTTGGGCTCGGCTCCCTGGCTGAATACAGCGGATCAGCCCATGAACACTTCTGTCCCGAGCCAAAGGAAGGAGTCCAGCAAAAGGCAGCACCTCCGCTTTCAGGCTTGGAAGCAAGAAAGGGGGCAAGGCTTGGAGAGTGGGGAATCGGGGAAGACAACTGAAAGGTAAATGGGGGAGAGGAACCCTGCCTTAGGAGAGTCAGGAGGTGCCAAGCACCCTGTGATAGTATCTAGCTGTCTGCTTTGTAAGATCAGTTGCAAAGTTGCTTTGAGGTGGTTATCTATTCACTTTGGGTTTATTCTTGTAACTGGAAAGACTGGGAGTGGCTTTATCAGCGTGAACTCTGCCCAGGCCTTTAGGTGTGTAAAGATCTTGGTTAAATGTCCTTGGGATTTAACACCATCACCTTGAATCTGGCACTGGATTTTGCAAGCAGTGCAATGTGTTTTCCACATTCTTCCAGGAACTCCTTTACCTGAGAACAGAGGTGGCATATTCAGGAGTTGGACTGCCTGCAGGAGTGGCACTTTGCCAGCCAGGCAGACAAAGCTCCAGTTGCTGGTGGGGGGGACAGGGATGGATGGTCTGGTGTGTAACGTACTGGCCAGCCCTCTGCACCAGGAATGTTAAGCCACTGCAGAGTCAGAACTCTCCCACTTGGAAGGTGACATGGCATTGTAATCCAGTTCTCCTGAGTGTGGCAGCTGTGTTCTTTGGTATCCAGTAATAGAGAAAAAAACCCACTGCTTCTGATTGATAGAAGCCTTGGTTAGATTGATTTCAACCCCCTTGCTTAGAATCTAAACTTTCTCCAACACTTAAAAATATGCATCCTCCACCAACTTTTCCCTCTGTTCATACAGGTGACATTTAAGTTGAAGATGGGTGGTGGAGAAAGATTCAACATTCCAGTTCCCCAGTCTAGAAATCCCACCAAGAACCATCAACAACTTAAAAACAGGCAGAAGAATAAAGACCAGAATTCGCAGATGAAGACCTATATGAAGAAAGAAAGAGGGCACGGATGCAACTCCTCGGCTGGTGCATGGCAGGCCATGCAAAAAGGGGGAAAGAACAATGTTCATTTCCCCAAGAATCAGAATTGGAGCCCGACTTTATCGAATCACAACCTGTTCTTCACATCTCAACCCAATCAGAACTACGCCGGAGCAAAATTCAGTGAGCCACCCTCGCCCAGTGTCCTTCCCAAGCCACCCAGCCACTGGGTACCTGTTTCTTTTAAACCTTCAGATAAAGAAATGATGACATTTCAGCTTAAAACATTACTTAAGGTCCAGGCTTGAGATGTAATTTTCACATTTGTAAAGTTATTTAAATTTACAGGATTTAAAAGTTGAGAATTGTTAGTCCTCATTCTAGATGTGCAGGTGTACAGAACCAAATGTTCCTGCTCCATATAGTTAGCCACTTGGACAAAAGGGGTTGAAGTTTACATTCCCCTCACGTTTTACCTCAAGTTGTGTGCTGTGTTCACTGTGAAATAGGAATTTTCTCTATAGTCAATCTAATCAAAGCTGCACAGTCACCATTTCTTGTATTTATTGTAAGAGTAAATGGGACTGTCTCCCCCAGTTGGCATTGTGACTACTTTTTGGTATGATAGAAAACCAGCTTTTGCCTAACTTAATGCAGCATTAAGTGGAAAAAAAAAAAAAAATTGCACTGAAAGCTTTAGTCAGGTAATTTGCTGCTTTTCAAACCTGCATAGGACTTGCTAGTGAAATAAAACCTCTGCCAAGGCACCAGGGCAAACACAGACTGGGCTCGTTTGCACTGATGAGCCTTGTCTGGCATTCTGGAATTAGCAGGAAGTGTTTCAAGCCTGTGACTAAAACCGAGGGGGCTCTGGTGCCTGTTGGTGAAGAGACAAGCAGAACACATCAAGCAGCATGGAACTGCCTCCCCTGCTGAGCAGAAGAGGAATCTGCACTGGAACCCCAGCAAATGACCCTGCAGTGCCAGGTGACTGCCTGAAACCTAAACCCTGTTGTGTTCCCACTGCACCGAGGGGTTCCCAAGTACCCGCTGGATCAATTTTTACATCTGAGAACGGTGGAGTAGTTACTTAGGTCGGTCTTAAATGTGTGACCCTGTAACAAGGCAGTTGCAGCAGCTCCTGGCAGCACTGACGTGCCATAGGGAAGACAGAGCCATGTAAATACATGTAAAACTTTGTAGCATATGTAAATTCCTGCTGGGCTTTCCTGCACAGAATATTTTTAGTACAAAACTGGTGAATGTAAGATGGCCACGGGGTGTACGTGGCCTGAGGTAAAAGATATTTTGTTTAAAAAAGAAAAAAAAAAGGAAAAAAAAGAAAAAAAGCAAAACCTTTGTGGCTGTGCCCTTGCACTTGACATGCAGTGAAAATGCATGAGCTCATTTTTAAAGTAAATCAGTGCAAAAAAGGCTTATTTAGATTTTTTTTTTTTTAACAAAAAAAAACCACCTGAACCTAAAAATCAAACCTGAACCCCTTAAAAGCTGCTGCAGTTGAGGATCCTGGTGTTCTGTAGCATGTGTGTGTGTTAAGGGATGGAAAACATCTGTGGGATTGCAAGTTTTCCATTTTTAAACCACACCGTTGCTTGTCACCAGTATTTGGTGCTGCCTGTAATAACCAATCCCACTGCAGCAGCAGAACCCAGAGGTGGTTCATAGTCATTCATAAAGTTTTTTAACATGGCAGGGAGAATTGTGGATCATGAAATGTGATTTCTCTGTTCATTCAGAACACCTTTACAAATCTATTGCTCCAAGTAAGAGGGAATTGGCAGCTGTAAACTTGTGTTAAACTCTGACCTCCACCAGCAGATGAGCTGTGTCCCAGTTACAATCATGTATACTCGGCCTCAAATTGTGAGTTACCAATCGTGTATGTACAAATTGGAAGTAAATTCAAATAAAGTAATATTTTCACCCCCTAAAAGACTCTTACTTATTTCAAGACTACTGGAAAAGCAGGATCACACAGGTTTGGTAGCTCAAGCAGCTCCATAGAGCTTTGACACATTTCAGTGCCCCCTTTTATATCTTGACTGTCATACTGTAGGATTATCTTACCTTTGGGGAGGAGCAGCAGCCTGAGGCCCCTGGCAAGTACTCCACACACACAAAATGGGCTGGAAATGGGAAGAGATTTCTTCACCACAGTCCTCTCCTTTGGACCTCACAGTGCTGATAATGAACACTGACCTTACCCAAAGCTCACATGGAGCCTGCTGGGGCCATGAGCTCTGCTCAGGAAGGCCAGGCATGGAAGCGCAGAGAAGGACCCAGGGCTGGGGCAGCATCCCTGGGTGGTCCATCCCCAACAGCCCTTGCTGTGTTAATTAAGTCAGAAGCTGCTCTCAAGGTATAGTCAAAACGTGTACATTTTATTCCCAGTTCACAGGGTTGTTTGCACAGATGGAACACAAAACTCAAGAAGAAAGGATGTGTAGGAATAAAAACATCAGCATCTTTTGATCAAACACACTACAGGGTACACAGTCTCCCCTTCCTACTCTCGCCAGTAAGAGCATCTTTAGACACATACTATAGCAATGGACTACAGACTCTTTAAGCAAGTTACAAGATAAATGGAGAAAACCAGCAGTTATTAATGGGTGATTAAGTCCTAAAAATGTGTGAATTCATCCCTTTGTACTTCAAAATGTTACATCCCTGCCAGAACCCCAGTGGTGGTGCTGTAAGGCATCGACCCAACTGCCCTTCTCTGAACATTCTCCAAGCTGTTACCCCAGACAAAACAGCAAGAGAAAAAAGAAGCAGGCGCTCTTTCCAAGAGCTCAAACCAACATTTAAATCGAGTTTCCACTTTGAGTAAAGCCGTTATACTGTACATTGAACATCTTCAAAAGACACAGGAAGGATAACATTGAGCTGTCAGAGACCACTCTATTGCAGTCCCTAGTTTATAAACACCCAGCTACTCAACCACTACATGTAGGATTTGTAATTAACCACTTGGGCACATGGACTTTAGGTGAAAAAGGAGTTCCAAACGAGCCTTCTATTACTGCCGAAGTAAATCGACAATGCTGCAGACGCTTTGAGCACAGCCATGGCTGTCAGCAGAATTTTTACAATCTACTTCAATTCTACAGTTGTTTTTTTTTTTCAGGAATGACAAAAATAAAAAAAAAATTAAATCTATAGTTTACCACAGGAAAAAAAAAACCATGCCCAGAATCCCCACCATTCTTGAGACTCCAAAAGAAAGATGCCTACACACCATCTTTTGTAGCCTGCGTATGTTCTTGCATTCCAGCTGTGCATAACCTGCGGGCAGCTTGCATGAGACAGGCTACTGCTTTCTTAGAGCAGGACTAGACCCCTGTGCCAAGGGAGGAGGTGTTATCTAGCGGGGCTGTGGCTGGACTGGCGCCAATGCGTGAACATTCCCTGCCCTTTGGCCACATCCTGCTAACTCGTCCCCAACTGAAAGGCCCACAGAACAGCTTCTTCACAATTTTTCCATGGGAGCAAGAACTAGGACAACATCTTTATTCATGCACTCTTGAAACATCGTGGGTTTGTGTTCGGCTTTTCTGGCTTGTTCATATACACAAGTCAAGTCAAAGTTTAGTCCTACCTCTGGGAGAGAAAGAAAGAACCATCAGAACTCGCAGATACTGCATTATACTTGCAATGAACTGGATTTGCAAAACAAAAATAATTTAAACTGTGCTATACATCACTGTTGAGGCACACAACATAAGGACATGCTGACAAAACAGTCACGGTACAGTTAGTGTTACTCTGCAGTCTGGAATCAGCAGCTCAGCCTGGACACCGATGCTCTCCTCCCTCCGCCCCACCGGCCCAGCTCTAGTTCCTGGAGTGTTCATTACAGCAATCCCTGGCAGGGTGCTGACAGAACCAGACCCATGCTTGCCCACCACAGCCAGGTGCACCACTTCCATGTGGGATTTTAGTCTTGAAGACAATTATTAATGTAAGAGCACTGAGAAAGGGCAGGCTGTTCTGCTGTTAAAAGCAGAAAGCTACACCATAATCACAGCTCAACTTAAGAAGCCCAAGGGTGGGTTTATCAATGCAATTAAGTGCTTTTTAGAGTTGTTTTCCCTCAGTGGCCTAAGAACCGCCAGCTGCACAAATGCCAGAAGGCAGCCTGAGTTCTAAGCGTTCTCAACAAAGCTTTACCACCTTCTAGAGTGGCGCCAGTTTTAATACAGCAAATATAAATCAGTAAGAGATTTGGTTCTATACGAATCCTAACTGCTGGTAGTTCATCACCTGGCTAACAGTATCTGCATTGTAACCACAGGGCAGTCCAGCCAGCAATAATGAAAGTCAATGGAAAAGAAAGTTCAATACGTTAGACTAGAACATCTGCTTTCTTAGTTTGGCTAGTACCCCTCCAAAAAAAGTGAAGCCATCTTTGTTCAGACACTAAATGATAAATTCCTGACTTTACTGAAATACCATAGTAAGGAATTTACTCCATAAGGGATGCACAGGTCTGCTCCTAACCATGCTCTGGAGTCAAATTCTACAGCTACAATAATTCCAGTGGGTCAGTATTTCCTTCATTTTTTTATTACAGCATGTTTGCTAAATTTACAGCAAGCAGAAAATAAGCTGGGTCTTTAGTTATTTTGATCAAAACATCGATGTTTTAAAGGTAGTACACAATATCTGTTAAAAAGAACATATAAAAATACCTTTTTAGAAGCCTCTATAAGAAAGGAAATACAAAGTTTAATCCCACAACTTTCCTCTGCTAGAGCTGCACACTACTGCTACAGTTTTAAATAGACTTTTTGCTGTTTTTAAACTATACATCCAGGAAAGTCTACAAAATTAAAGAAACGTGCATATAAATGATTGCATAGCAGAACATGAACATTAACTGCAAACAGTAAAGGAAGAGTTAGAAATACTATCAAATGTACAAAGATTCTAGGATCAGCCCCTACGCACGTTCCGCTGCCGGTATTTCAAAGCCGTCTGCATTTCTGGAAAGGCCCCTCTGAACACACTAAACCCAAACCTACAACATTTCTCTACAAAAGGAACTTGTTGAAACCAACATCTTTGTATGCTACTAGGTAGGACAGCAGGGAACACTAGGTGTCTGTTGCTGGCTTTTGAAGGCGAATAGAAAAACCAACTCCAAAAGCCATTTTCATACCAAAGTATCTTGCCTTCTAGAGAAATACTGGTAAGATTACACACGGGTTTTGTTATTTTTCACATTCAATTTACTAAATATACTGTATTAGTGATAAACTAAATAGCTAGAGATGCAGCTCTTGTTCATATCCAACTGCAAACATTTGTTCTTAAGGAAATCTTGGAACTGAACCACTATCTGTTCTGAGGAAGAAGTGACCCAGACTCACTTGACCAAGTACTTTTTGCTGCGTACAAGCCAGCCTATGTTACTCAGGAAGAGATGGCTATGGATTATACCTAATACACCAACTAACCACAGGAGTCATTGGCAGAAAAGTTTAGTTCTTATATACTGTACACACACAACTCGAAACAATCTACTGGTATCTAACAGCAGGAAAACTAAGCAATTTAATGGTTAACTGCTCACTAAAATTTAGGATACAAAAACTGCATAAAATGTACACACAACCTAATATTTAGTTGCTCTGCTGTTTGCTGAAATCTGAACTGAATTTTCCAAATGCAAGGTGTTCCCCCCCCCCACCCCCCATTTCGTACTAGCTGCCAGGCCAAAGCAGCTATGCCTCTATCCTGACAAGTCACAGCACTGCACAAACTCTGAATGAGCTTCCAAGACCCACTCTCTCCCCACATAGTCCACGCAATGTTAGTACCATCTCCCCAGACAGCAGGGTTAAGGAGGAATCTCAAACCGCTCCATTCACTGACCCGCTCAGGACAGCGGGCATGGAGAACACAGAAACCTGCCTCTGAGCAATGGAAACATGAACCTGCCAGTCTGCGTGTCACAGCGGTCAGTGTTGTGCTACAGCTGTCCAGTTTTCCGTGTTATCACAAGGTTTAGCATTAAAGAACAAGTTAAACAGTTAGTTTAACTGTTCAGCACAAACTGGTACCAAATTTCTCTATGGGTATGACATTTTTAATAGGACAATGTTGCAAGTTACGATCAATCAAGTCATCACCAATATCTAAGCATTAGAAATGCAAATCTTTACAAAAATATACATAGAGACACCACAACCAAATCAGTAGCTGCCCGTGACATTTAACCAAGTGGACACTCTCTCTCCCTCTCTCTTTCTCGCTCTCTCAGTGGCTTCTCAACATTGTCTTAATTTTAACCATTTTCGGCTACAGGGAAAACTGACAAAGAGAATACTTTTTAGCACTGTTGCAACATCATATTCCTGATAATTTAAGTAAACTGAACTGTGTGTAAATGAATCTTACATGCCTAGACCCAACATGGATACACTGTTAGTGGCCACTGGACTTGGGACTAGTCCATGACCTTGATCTGGATTTTGACCTAGATCTAGAATGTGATCTTGACTGTGATTTGGATCTAGCGGGTTCTTTTTTTCTCGATTCCTTTTCATATCTTGAGCTGGACTTATAGTGTGTTTTAGAATCTGTTTTAGAAGTGCCTCTAGATTTGGTGTGAGATGCAGACCTAGACCGTGATTTAGCCTTCATTTCTTTCTTGGGCTGTGACTTGGATCGTGATCTTGAATTGGACTTAGATCTTGAAAAAGATCGATTGCGGTGTTTGAACCTATCAGAATAAAGGGGAGAGAGGAGATTTGAATGTAAAAACACTATTCTTAGACATCTAGTACATTAAAAATTGTTTACCATTTTGCAGGAGAAACTTTTTTTTTTAACCCTATAGTTAAAGGAACACAGTGATCTAGTTTTCAATTTAAAGGATGTAAAAAGTACTTTACCTATCATTGTCCGAATGGCTTCTGCTACGACGAGGTCTTCCAGTAGGTCTACTGCTAAAAAGGTACATCAGAAAAAGTAAATGCTGACAAATACCTATGTGTATGTACAAATGCTTAATAAATTCTATCTCAAGCTGTGCATTTGCTTTTACTTATTCTGCACTGAAGCACAGAATCATTTCATTCAGTATTTCTGATTATGTAGCATGCAAAATATGCAACTCCCACAAGTTACTCCCACAATAGAAAACAATTATTCAAGACTTTAACAATTAACTAGGCAATGTGGTGTCTCTCTTCCAGCAGACTGCTTTGCAGCTGAAGCTGAACACACACTACACTTACTTTCTGGGACTATAGGATCTTCTATAGCTGTAATCAAAAGAACGACTTCTAGACCGTCTCCTTTCGTAACTCCGACTTCTAGATCGTCTGTATCTGTCATAGTCATCGTAACGAGAAGAGCTGTACAGGTTTCTCCCTTCCTTGGCTTTCATTTGATTTGGTGCTGTAAAAAATATCAACATTTAGCATTTTAAGTTCAAAAGTTCCCTTTAGTGACATTACTAATCCATATATCAGGTATTTAGACTGCTGTATGGCACTTCCCTTTAGCTGCTTATAAACACCAGACAAAAATTAATGCAGCTGTGTGGGCATTACAGATCTAGGGGGGGAAAAAACCCAACCAAACCAAGCCCTCAAAACCAGTAAGACAGGACTAATGCTCCATTACTGAAATTCTCATTCAAACCAGAAGACCATGCTCAAAGTGTTTTAAACACATCATGCTCTAGATAGTGAGCACTACCTACAATGAACACGATCTACAGACAGTGAACACTATCTGTACTCAATGGCTACAATTTTTACTTTTTAGAGTACTTCAGTTTACAATACTAAGGTAAATATGTTAATTTTTGTTCAAAACCTGGTAAGAAATCCCAGGACTGTACAGGACAGAGACTCATCCTTCAGAGTTTGTAAACCCCATTGATTTCAATACAAATTAATTGTGTGCATTTGAGGGAAATCTGGACAGTTGGGATGTTCTCTGACAGCTTGAACTGAAAGACCTTTAAGATGCTTTTATTACCAGGCTGCACTAAGTATTATAGTCCTAGCTTAGACCAACAGGTATGTGTTCAGTTTACTCACAGCATGGGGTTTTTTTACATCCTGTCCGTACCTATCTCTATATTAAGAATACGTATATGAGTAACAAATTTAAAAGACAATCTCTCTTTAGAATAATCTGTTCAGAAAATAGAAATTCTGTTCCATATTGAATTGAGATACCTTGACATTTACTTTTATCCTAAGGCCAAATGAACGAAGCTATTGCCTCAACCCTGGAAATCAGACTGCACTGGGAAGTGTCAACACAGCATCACTAACATGCTTCAACACAATATAAACATCACGACACCCTCAAACTGGGCTGCTGCTAATTTTGACAGTTCCCAGCAGTCAGACTTCCCTGCAGGAGTCACACAGAGCTCCACAATAAGCGCTTCAGGATTAGCAGCTCGCAGACAGTGACCGCTGTATTTAATGATCTGGTTTTAATTAAAATGAGTCATGAATAGTTACTGGATAAAATGCAAAACATCCACATCCTATTCATACACAAGCAAGAACATACCACAACAATTAGTAACACATGTAATGGTGCCTGGCACTGAACTTTAAGGCTAAAGTGCTGAAATACATTCAAGGCACTTACTCTTCCGATCCCCTTGTGCAAACTGGATTTCTATTTGCCGACCACAAATCCACTTTCGATCCAAATTATGGAGAGCATCTTCTGCATCACGGACATCTTCAAATGTGGCGAGTGTTAAGGTACTTGGGAATTTGAGCAGTTTACAGATTTGGTATTTAAAATAAAATACAAAAATCGGTTATTTTCTAATTTTACAGAGGGTTTTGTTCGTTTGTTTTAAAGTTCTTTTGGTCATACTACAGTACACACGAGGAATTATTTTTATTTATTAACCACCAGCTATCTGAGAACTCCTTTAATAAACTTGAAGTGTTATAATATGACCATGAACTTATCCACCAGCAAGCAGTTGCTATGCGATTCTCTTTTTCTTCTCCCACTTGTACTTATGCAAGGAAAAAAAAAACCCCTGGCATCCTTTTCAAAACACACTGTTAATGGTCATTTAGTTCTCTCCACTACATTGACTTTAATAAAATTAAACCCTACTTCTTAAATTACATTAGGCAACCAACAGTAGTAATTAACACATGCCTATTAGTTTTAGAACTGGGATAAAGCTTTCCCTTTTTTTCCCCAGCTAACTTCAGCTTGAATTATGTAGCACCACGGACACATATGCAGACCTCCTGCAGTCTGGGACACATGAAACCCTGCACTGTTGGTCAGGTCAGACAGTCAGCAACAGACATTACCGATTTTAATTCATGGGTCTGACCACTGCAGTAACTAACGCACCTTCTTCTAGCTATGTGACCTGAAAGAACAAATTGCCTTTCTCCTCGTAGCAACTCAGCTCACCATGAGCACCATCTACGCAGAACATGAACGCTCATGCTGTTGGCATGTATCTCGATAAACCAGGAGGAATGCACTTTCATTCAAGACCACAGTTACAGCAGCACTCACAAGAGAAATATTACAGGTTTTGTCAATGGACTAAACCAGAATTATTCATCAAATTACTGCTTACGTGACAAACAGAAGAACAACTGTTACTCTGTAGGATACATCAGGTATGACTCCTTTAATCTTGGCCACCATTCAACTTCATCTTGACCTTTAACTCTTTAAGTGCTTGTCAGAAGGACTTGTCATGAGATGCTTGGCCAAAAATGACAGAAGGCTTTATCTTTTACTTTGAAAAACAACCTTTTCCCCCTTTTGTGGATAAAGCGAAGCTTTGTCTCCCATTATGGCTTGTCCTTCTTCCAGCTTTTCTTTACTTTTTCTTTTCCCAAACTCTCCCTTCTCTTCAAGCCTGATCCTTAAGAGGTCTTTGGCTTGTCTACTTGCCTTAATTGTTGAACTCTACTCTAACGGTTCTTTCATGCTTTCTCTTTGGGGTCGCCATTACTGTACAGCTTTACATTCTGAGGCAACAACAGAGGACAGTAAATTAGGGGACAATATTAAAGAAAGAAGATCACCTCATTTTTTATACAATCTGATTTTGATCAAGTGTTCCAGTTCCCATTTGTTAAATTAACAATGAATACCAGCCACAGTTGCTAAGCACAAGTTTACTTAATATCAGTGATAATAAAAGTGTTTGCTAAACACTTTTGAGTCAGTGATAAATTTTCATTTAAACTATATAGTATTAATTTCAGTGACATAAGCAAGCTTTTATGTTACTGGACTTAAGCTTTGTAAAAAGGCAAAGAGCAACTAAGTTAATCTTCAAAAATAACAAAACACCACAACATAAGTAAGACACTTATTAGATACAACACAAAAGTAAACTGCTTTTTTGTTTGTTACCTCTTACACAAACTTGAATTTCAAACTCCAACACCCCTCACTACTCAGCCATCTGAAGAAAGGATATTGAACATAAGCAAATCCTCTGGGACGACGAGTGTAGAAGTCAAGTGGAACGTACACATCAACTATAGGCCCATAACGACCAAATTCACGGCGCAAGTCTTCAGACCTAGAACATCACAAATATTTTATGTTTTTTCCCCCTATTTAAGGTGTTAAAAAACATCCATCAAATTAAAAAAAAAATAGGCATTTTATTTTATTTCAATCTACACTCAAATGACCACCATCTTTTTGGAAGCAGCTGATAGAGAAAAATATAACAAACCATTCTGGGAGGAAAGTATTTGAGCAGCTCAGTTACACACCAGGCTTTTCTGAACCACTCAGGACTTGGGATGCTGAGGATACACCTCAGTTTTTTGAAACCACTTCAGTACAACTAACGGAAGCATAAACTAAGTGACACACACTAGTTCATTCAGTGCAGGATGGACTAGGAAAGGATGGCAGAGAGTGAAAAGCAGGACCCAAGAATTACTGTTATTCAAGTACCTCAGGTAACTCTTGAGAATGATTCTGGAACATGCAAACACCAACTGCAAGATCCACGTAAACAGTATGAGAATAAACCAGTCACACAAACTCATTTCCATAGAAAAATCAATACTTAAAACCACATCAAATAGAACAAAACTTGAGTGAGCAACTACTCATGCCCTTAGGATAGCTTTTCCAAATAACCGAGCACAAAACTGTTCGGATCTGCAACTACTCTGGGAACAAGTTCCATCTCCTCAGAGAGGTTTCTAAATCACATCAGCCTCTTTAGATGGATTTTTATGTCATTTGATGACAACAGCATGTATGAGAAAGACCGATATTTATGTGGTACGAAAGAGTGACTATCATTTCTCCTTATCATCTGGGAAAGAATCTACAGCACATATAATCAATAATGGCAGAAGGGAACTACAACCAACACTGAGATCTCACAATCAAACCATCTCCAAGCATGTACCATCTAAGCACAAGCTTATGGGGAAAGCCCTAATAGGACCTTCTACTACAAGCTTTTAATTTTAAAAAGCCTAGAAGCAACAGTCTTCCTTGACTGTTCTTACAGTGAAATAAATACTGGAAAGAGGAAAGAAAAATCACACACACGAAAAACCTGAAGCTGTTTACACTTTTTATCACAATAATGCTCTCGATTCATCCCATTCCATCGTGCCCATGCTATCGTTATGTGCTGGACAATTTCAGTGCGAGCTGCACAGGCAGAAAGTTTAGAAACTCCCATTTGTGTTTTACACTGCTCGACCTCACAGGAACTCCCAGACAAGTTCTACAGCGATTATCAACCTGAGAGTGCTCCAGCTCACACGTGCATTTGATATTAATGCACTCTATAAACGTTTCAAAGTTGACAACAGACACAAACGGGACATGATAAACTGCCAAAGAAAAATAGAGGAATCAGCAGTTTGCTAAAAATAATCAATAAATAAGAACCTATACAATGCACTTTTGATTTAACTCCCTATGAAGAGTTACTGCACTAAGCTGCTGCATACGTTTACCCCGTACGGACTCTTCCTACAATGCAGTTACGTTCCCCCCCCCCCCGCTCCCGAGCGCCGTACAGAACAATTAACGCAGCAACGCTCCGCCTGCACTGGCAGCGAGCCCCGCACTAACGGGACCGGCTGCGCCGTGAATCCCGGGACACCCTGAGCAAAGGCGCCGCGTTCTCCCCTCCCGTCCCGGCCGCCGCGTTTCCACCTCCGGCCCAGCATTGTTCTCCCTGGACGCCGTTTTGGAACCGGCCTCGTGGGGAAGGGTCAGCGGGAGCAGCACCGCGGGGCGGGCAGTGGCGAGTGGCGCGGGAGGCGAGGCGGGAGAGCGGCCGCGCATCGGCGGCGAACCGAGGCCTCCCCCTCCCCGCGCCCCTCCGGCGGCGGCCGCCCGCGCGGCCTAGCGAGCCCGCCAAAGCCTGCGCAGCCCCCGCGCCTCGCTGGCGCCGCCCGCACTCACCGGGTGTCATCGGCCACGTTCCGCACGAAGAGCGAGGTGTTGGGGGGCCGCAGGTAGCGGGACATGGCTGCGGGGGGCGCGGGGCGGGCACAGCGAGCGCGCGGCGGGGCCCAGGCGCTGCGGAGCCGAGCGCTGAGGCGACCCTGCGAGCTGCGAGCAGCGCCACCGCCGCCCGCGCGCCGACTCTCGCGAGACTTCCCGCGGGGCTTCCGGCGGGAGAGAAGAGAGCTCGGCGGCCGAGAGGCGCCAAAACAGGGCCCTGCCCCCTCACTGCGCATGCGCAGAGCGCGCGCGCCAGCCCCCACTCACCGCCCGGGCGGGAGCTTCGCCGCCGCGCGCTCCTGCAGCTCGCGCATGCGCAGTGCTCCCCCCCCCGGCGACTCCTCGGTTTTCCCGCCGAAAGAGGGAGAAGCGCGCGGGCAAAATGGCGGGCGGGCGGCGGTGTGAGGCGGCGGCGGTGCCGGGCTGCAGGGGCCCTGTGCCGGGCCTGCCTCCGTGCCTGGAGGCATCGCTGTTCTGCAGCCCCGTCACTGACAGCGGTGTTGTGCTCCTGGGCTCGTCACCGTGCACATGCAGAGCAGGGTTTTCACTGAAGCCGTTTGTGTGGTGAGAGCAATGAAGTAGGTGGGTAGAGAGATTGTTCCTTAACACCCCAGGGTTTGATCGCCATCGGTGTTAAATGGTAGATGGGCAGTCACAGGTTGGTGTGATGAAGGGTTCAGTAAAGCAAAGTGTCTCCACCTTTGTTGGTGTGAGGAATGTTCCCCAAACAGCAGTGTAGAGAGAAAAGAGACTTCCAAGTTCATGCAGTTGTGGTGTGTTTGTCACTGGTGTACTTCAGCTTTACTATGTGTAATGATTGAACATGAAGGAAAACTCCGGTGGGTGGACGAACACTGCTGCTTGCATCCTGGCAATCTCACACTAAGAACACCATAGGGTGTGACTGACGGGTGAAGTTTGATCCCGGACACATTTATGCCAACTATTTATGCTGCTTTTTGAAAAAAAAAGAAGAAAATGCTGGCGCTTGTATGCTGAGTGCTCTCTGCTCAGAACTGCAGAAGAGAGATGGGGGTCTCAGTGTGTCCTGCATTTAGTGTTTAGTTTAACGTTGCTCTGCTCTAAGCATGCTGGCAGCATGCTGAGTCTGCTGCCTTATGTGATCCGTGCACAGATCTGCTTCCACGAGTCATCAAAAGAATGTGAAGAATCAAGCCAAGGAAGCACGTGGGAGCCTGGAGTTCTGGTGGGGATGGGTAGCACAAAGCAGAAATAAATTATTCTGTGGAGACATTCTGAGAAACAATGGAGCCACCGAGGAGTGGGGTTTGGTGATGGGCAGAAACACTTCCCGCCAGGATTGCCTCTCCGGAGCTGTTCAAATTGGAAGCGAGCAGTCTTGAACAGCATCCAAATAACGTTATAAATACTCCCATGGGGTCCTTTGCAGAAAATTCCCTTGGTTTTGTGGAAGAGTGGATCCATTTCTATTGTCCAAACTCATACAAGATTGTCATCCCGAAATGATGTATGACTTTGGACAGTGGGGCAAGGGTCCCAATCTGATCAAAATCCTTTAAGGAGCTGCACTGAATATTTCACCTAAATGTGGGATGTCCTGTGACAGTACATTGCCATTGGATTGAGAAGATTGGCCTCCTTCTTGGAAATGCTAAATCACCACAATGAGAAGTGAGGGAGATGAAGTCTGCTTTCAAGAGCTTGTAGTGCTTTCAAATTAAAATGGTTTAGCATCAGTTTAAGTTCTGTATAGGTTAATGTGGTTTTAGTATGCATTATCTACAATCTATAACTTAAACTGCCTTTGTATACCCATTGTGTATTGAGGTTGAACATTAATAAGGGATTGAACAGGGAGGAAGTGAGTTTGCAAGGCAGATTAGGCCAAGTGAGCTGGGAATATATGAGTAGCTATTGAATCAAAACAAGACTTTTGTGTTTCTTTCAAAAGCAGATGTTTTGCTTTAACATCATTCCTGTTTTATTCCCGTTATAATGCATCAAAGCAAATACTTGTAACAGGCTTTACTAGTGTGGTCTTCAGGGAAATGCATTGTCTCTGTATTGGTTTAGAAATAAACCTGAGCATCTCGTACTTTGTAGCCTACACTTAACCGATTCAGGATTTGATCATTGAAGACCTGCAGTGTTCTCTGGGTTTGCTGTTGGACAACAGTGCTGTTTTGTCGTGTTTCAGTGTGTAGTTGGCAGCAGTTACCAAGCAACTGCCAAACAGAGGTGTTTCAAGCTCTTATATGGCTCTCTGCAGTACCAGTGCTTTAAAGCAGCCTTCTCCTGAGTTTTACCAGTGGCTTGGCTTCTGTTCTGATCTTGTTATGTGTAACTCCATTGAATTTAATTTATTCTGCAAATTGGAAGAGTGTTTAATTCCCTTTGCTCTTGTAGTGCCTCATTTTTGTTTAATTGTACTCTGGTGTACTTCAGTTTAAGAGCAGTCGTTCCTATTATTACTTTTATGACTGTTAAATACTTCATTGCTTTTAAAATATTACTGTTTCTATTTCTGTTACAGATCAGCTAAACCAAAGTCTAATTTTTCTTTGCTGGCTAGATACAGAGAAAGGGTTTTAGTAGAAGATGAAACTTTATTAGACAAAGGAACTAAAGCTAAATGTGTTAATTGAGCATGTAAAAAATCGAGGCATTTCTGTCAGCTTTTGTCCACTCCCAAGGATCATTCTGATAAATCACAGTGTTTCAGTTAACATCCAGGTTTGGTTGTCTGGGAGGCAGACTTCTGTCACTTGGAGTGCAGAAGTGTACTCAGGGGGAAAATACAGTCTTACAATTATGGGAATTATGGGAATTGGTGTGTGTGTGAAAGGAGAGTAGAAGTCACAGTTATTTTCCGTTCTATTTTGTCACATAATGAAGATCACACCTTTTGGAAACGGCACTTTAGGTATGTAAAGATGTCACAAAGAAGGTGATCTGGCTTTAAACCCTCTTGCTTCTTCTGACAAGCGTTACTCCACCATAAGTCATAGTCTGTAGAAGACAAATATGCATAACTTGGTTTTAATTTAGACTTTAGGAAGTCTATTTTTAGCTAAGTGGTTGGAAGTTTCTGTAGTTTATGTTTAAATCCATCTTATTCCATAAGCAAATACATTTACAGCACCTGCTTACAAATACGTGTATAACATTCATACCAAGAAAAGTATTTTTACAAAACCAGCTCTGGAGATTGAAAACCTAAATATAAATGTCACCATCAACTACATTTTTTCACTCTGTTTTAAGGGGTATCATAGATGATGCTTCCTGTAAGAGAAATTATTGTCCCAAATAGCTATTGCTTCTTTTGTCCGGTTTTGTGCTTCCTTAATGTTAGAAAAGTAGTTGGAGATACTCAAAATGATCTTAGGGTATTGTATGTCCAAAACATAGGACTTTAGTGCACTTAGCTGTAGTAGTTCTTGTAGCAGTCTTTACCCAAGTGGGTGCTTCTTAGAAGCCAAGTGAGCTTAACTATAGAGAAAAGCTTTGTCATTACCCAACAGCTTAGAGCTAACCAAAGAACTTTGAAGAATTATAGGTGGAATGAGTGTATTGTACATTTTCAGGTTTGACTCAGCCTTTACTTTCTTTTCGGCAGGAATGCTGTAGATAAAGGTAAGGGTGGAAACGCTGCTGTAATAATTGAGAGGAATTTATGAGGAGTCTTTCTGCTCCATGCTCAAGCAGCTACGGCCCTTCGGAATAGAATTGGCCCCAGGGTGGTGATTAATAAAAAGATTTGTTGAGCACCTTCCATTAAATATATGGGCAGTGTTGAAAGAGGATTCAGTTAAGGCAGTTGGTTTTAATAAGAAACAGGAATAATAAAGGTACTGCTAGTATTTTCCGCTAACTGTGGTTAGTCTGAAATACTCCATCTGATTTCTGTATCTGCAGATTTAAGCACCTGTAAGGAATTCCACAAGTAATGTGGTAGTTCTGGGGCCAGGATTTGTATAAGGTGTTGAGCTTACACTAAAAAACCAATCAGCACAGAACACTTTCCTTCAACATTTTTTTTAACACACCATTATTTTCTGACACGTACCTCCACCATTTCACCTCCTTTAATTTCTTGCTCATGATGGAATTTGTCTGACTTGCACACGAGCTTCCCATTTACCATGTTCACAGTGCACTGTTGAAGCAGATTTAAAAGTTGTAAAACATTTAGAGTTTGGAGCTTGGTTAGAATAAGCAGATGACTGTAGGAAATAAACGATGTCAGTGTTTCATAATCACATCTGTGAAGTTCCAACTGCAGACCACAGCATTTGAACAGGAGTTTTAGAAGAAACACTTTTGTTGAAATGATAGAACTGTGCACTAACAGAAGTGGTACAAGCAAGTCTCACTCAGACACAGAAACTGAAGTATAAGGATGAACGAATTGATGCAGCCATTCCTGAAATGCAGTACCTTTAGCTTTCTGCCATCCATGGTAGTAATATCAGCCTCTTTTCCAAGTGTAAACGAGTTAGTTACAGATTGCTTGGGTGTCTTTGATGTCACAACAAAATCCTCTCCTTTTTGTTGTATTTCAACAACAGGTTTAATATCTCTGGCAAGTTTGATAAGGTCATCTGGCAATGCTGTAAAAAAGGCAAAAAAGGACTTTCTCTGTTATGAAGAAGTGTGTTGATGTGAAAGAGCAAATTTGTTTTTCCAAAGAGAAAAGAAATAGAAAGTGAAGTCCAGGTTAAAAGGCCAATCCTGGTTTGAATTCCTCACTTCTCTGTGGGGATGTTGTTCCATTCTGTCCAGCCCGTGTAGATTAGATTTGCTACTCTTGCGTCAGAGTGTGCATTGTTCCGTTCAGTAGTGGTTTGCCATGTGATGGTGTTTCTCCATGACAAAAACCATGTGTGTATTGTTTTGTTTCCCTCACCTCGTCCCAGGAGGACTGGAGGTGCTAGTGTCTGGCTAGTCAGAGCTGCAGCAGCACATGTAGCCTGACTACTGTATCAGAGCATCTCTGGTATGTTGTGAGAGTATCACCCTTAGCAACAGAGAGACTGGTTCAGGCGTTGTACTGTCGGGGTAGGCTTGTCAACTGTAACTGCATCTTATTCTGCTGAGTAGCTCTTGCATACTCTTAAAACCCCTTAAACTCTTAATACTCTTAAAAACAAATAAAATGTGTTTTGCCAAGATTGTCAAGAGGATAAGTGCATTTTTATTAATGTAGGCACCCACTAAATCATAACCACTGAGTCTGTTCCTTACAGATCACTAAGCACCAGTTACATACATTAATCACTCATGCATCTGTAGGTCATTGACAGTTTGTTTCTAGTTAAATGTATTTCTAAAGTTATGTGTTAATCAAAACAAGTTGATTTCTGTTATGCCTCTTCTTTCATGAGGGACTCATGTAATGTTGAGAAAGGGATTTGGGGGTTATCTCTAACCTTTCTACGCTGATTTGTATGATATTCAGTTTCTTTTTTTTACAAATTAGGCCCGACAGCCTCGACAGCCAGGGAGTAGTTTGTCATCCAAACAAAAGAAAGAAAACATAGAAATGCAGTGATGGCAGATGCCATGCAAAGTGTGTGCTGCAGTCCGAGGAAGGGATTTCAGAAGTAACCAGACACTTACCAAGAGCTTTCAGAAACTCTTCGTAGTTTTCTTGAGCATAGACCTGCCAGGTTCCATTGAATGCCATTATGGATGTATGACACAGCTTGGGGTGGTGGTGCTGGCAGGAAAGTGAGGGCTCTCCCTGGTCATCCAGATGCTATTTATGGAAAGGGATCACAAGCCCAAATTGTGAGATGACTGGTGAATTATTAACCATGGAGGAACAATTATTAATCATTTATTTGTTCCTAGTGAGCATAACCTCTCGTTCATGACCAGCTGGCTTGGGATGGTTTGTTTATTGTGGGTTACTGAACCCGGGTATTCATAATTGTTGTAAAGTGTTTCATAGATTAATTTGTTTTTGTTCTGTTCACAACTTCAATGCTTAATACATTTTCTGTGGTGTGGATAGAATTCCTCAGGTAAAATGGCATCCTTTGCAATGGATGTAAGGTAATTACTGTCTTACAGCAGGAACTTCCTAATTATCTCAACTTCTGCTATGGGCACTTGAACCTTAAATGGAGGGAGTAAAATCTGCAGCTATTCCTTCCAGAAATGTGGGCCTGCAGTTCCATGAGGATGAGGAAAGTGGTGTTGGATTGGGACAGTCAGTTACGAGTTTAGCCAGCAGGTGTCAGTGATGCACATCTAAATCTGATTTAATTCCGTTTATTATTGCTTGTTCTAATAATCATGGCATGCATAGAGGATTAAAGGTAAAATAAAACGTGGACCATTGCTCGGAGGCTGAGCTGAGAGAAGTAAACAGGATGTATTATTTCTCTTCTCACCCATCGCACCACGAATTCCTCACTCACTGTAGCTGTTGAGTGATATTCCTCACTGTCTGGGCAAGCGTGACTGTTGATTTTGGAAGACATTCATTAGATTTTGTGCCTTACAGTTATATTGCTTAATTCAAATAGAGTCTGTATCCTAGGGGTAGGTGACCTTTCGAAGTTAACTTTTATTACTCCATACCGGTCAGCAATTCTTCTATTTAAATAGAAAACCAATGCTGAACGTACAAATTCACAACAACTTTTTTTTTTTTTTTAACTTTGTAAACTTGAAGAAAATTCACAACAAAGAGCCAATTCCATAATTACATTTCCATATGGTAATCCCCGAGTAGCAAGAATGAAATGATGATAATGGACAAAGCTGTATTTTTGAGGGGGAAGGGAAGGTGTTTAACACACATGGGTTTTAGAAGTGCATGTTTATTTTGGAGTTACTCTAGGACACAGTTCACCTGGTTTTCCACAGAGTGATGTTACTGTCAGAAGGGCCTGCTTTTCTTTCTCATTCTTAAAGTAAATCTGTGCCATTAGCTAAACTCTTACTTTTTAGTATTATTACATTTAATAATTAAATGATATACATTTAATTTAATCTAAAGAAATGTGTGAAATGTAACTGCCTTTGTTCACATGATTGGTAACCCCATAGAGGACTGCTGGGCTCATTTACATTGATACTGGGACAGCAGCATCCCTCAAGTAACCAGGAAAAATACTGCTACTGTGAGGACAATTTATACTAGTTTGTGGAGCAAGGTAAGGTGCTGTTTTGCTGAATCAATCTGCTTAGCCTAATGGCTGTATCAGGAATGCAGTCACTTACCACTCACTGACAGGGTTTTACAGGTGGGGCTAGGAGTGTAGCTGTGGCTTCAGAGCAGTTGAGAGGCCACACTTTATTCCACATCCAGAATAATCTAATGTAAGAGTGTGTATGTGGGAGCTGAATGTATTCCTCTGGAAAGAACCAAGCGTGTCCCTGCCTTGTGTTCTTCTCGGGGCTTAAGTTTGTAAAGAGGCATGCTTTAAGGCGCAGAGTCAGCAGTGCACTTGAGAAAACTCCTTTCTTCCCATACACACATGGACTGACTGATTTCAGGATGGATGTACTGGACAGCAGTGCTGAGGTGTCACCAAGGGTATAGGTTTAATAACACACACACAAGCATTTGTCAGCTACAAGGTAATCAGTAACACATAGTGATTTAGTACAAAAAGCCTCCACCGAACACCTGGTTCTAGTATGTGAACCCTCTGGTACTGCCCAAACAGGTTTACTAGGGAAGAGTTTCTCTGTAAGTTGAGCATCCGTGTGTACACAGACGTGTGTGTGCACTCTCACACAAACACATGAGAATTGTTCTCTAACAACTACCAAAATACTACAGTATTACTAGAATAAATGAGCCTGAATTTCAGGGCAGAGATACTGAAAGGAATCTGAGGGATTTAAATTTAAATGAATTTAAATTCCTTTAAAATTCATAATTGTCTAATTCATTTAGGCTTTTTTGTGACAACCCCACCTGTGATTTCCATTTCTTCCATCCCTATTGGTATCTCTCCATGCTTATAGACACTGATAGTAACCTGCCCTATTTCGGAGCCGTACTTATTCTTGACATAGATGCTGTATTTTCCTGTGTCTTCATTGCAGACTTTCTCGATGGTAATTGTGACAACTGTCCCCTTCACATCCATTTTGTAGCGATCTTTGAAGACAATCACCTTCTCGTTTTTGAACCAAGTGATTTCTGGGTAAGGATCTCCAGATACACAGCAAGTTAAACACAGGGTCTGTTGTAAAAACAGAGAGCAGAAATAGATTATGAAGACAGAAATGAGCAAGGAAATTCAGTTAATGAGAAATTAAGAAAAATAAAGATCAAGTCTCTTGGATTTTCAGTAGGTGAGATTCTGGGACTGTCCACTCCTTTTCCTGATATCCTCCAGTCTAATCAGGATTAACCTGTTTGAATTCCCTGGGCCTGACTCATATTTGTGCTCCTGTCGTTATATAGCTTTCTTACGCTGTACAGTGACGCTGAGCTGTGAAGTTGACACTTAGGCACATGGTGGCTCAGAATTGTCAGCAGCAAGTTGCTATGTGACAGATGGGAAAATCGGGTCCAGCATTTAAAAGGCCTTGGTCTAATTCTGTACAATGGGAAGACAACAGAAAAGATCTGGCAGTGAAACAGACCTAGTGTTGTGGTTTAAACCCTAGCCAGACAGCTTGTTGGCATCAGGGTACACTGTGCGCCACTATCTACTAGAGCCTTATACTTCTGTAGGACACCTAGTAAGCAGTGACACCCAGAATCTGTGAGAAAGAGGTCCTGTGCCACAAAGAGCACCTGTATGTGCAGAAGCATGTGTGTGTTTGGAAGTACCATTGGCAATACAGGGGCTGACCCAAGTATTGTGGAGGTACCACTCTCCACTGCCAGCAGCTGCTGCGAGCCCATGGGAGGGGAAAACAAGTAGTTCTCTCCCCGTCAGTTATTCTTCTGTGCCTGTGCAGGGGCCAGTTGTATGAACAGTTGCCCAATATTACCTTGTCCTCCATGATAGTGGCAACATCTGGCAGACCTTGAACAACCCTGGCACGACCTGGGAATGAACAAATACGACCTTTTACTTGTCAGCATACCCCTTGGCTTTGCTTCACAGGGGAAAGGAAATGAATTTACTTACGCTTTTCTGCTATTGCGGCTTCCCTGAAAGTGAGAGACAAAATTGTAGGGGTTTCATTTATTAGACATTATGTTCTCAATATAAAATATGACACTCAAAATAGATTTAGCTGTGAAAATATTTAGGCAGGAACTTACTTCAGCCTTTTGTGCTCAGCCAGGGCGTCTTCAAAAGCTGCAAGGAATGAAAGATTTTAGGGAAAGTTGCCATTTGTTTCATTTGACTTAGGACTTAGTGGATTTAATATAATGCATCAGTGTTGGAATTACAGGTATTTGTGCACACAGATACGTGTCATTATCATCTAGACAGTATCTGTATCTGCCCTAAGGAAATACGACTGTATACACTGCTGAAATAAGTGGGATTGGGTACTTAGTTTCCAAAGAGAAGTTCAGAGGAGGAAAAACCTCAACTTTGAGCAGTTTGGAGACATCTTTTTAAGCCTGAAGCCACACGCTCTTTTCCAAGATGCCACCCGTGTGTTGTGCCACCCGTTGGCCTGTGGAGGACCTGGACACATCCAGGAGCAGCTGCTCCCCCACTCATCCTATACCTGGGAATGCCTCACGCTATGGCAGCAAGGCTCCCAAAAGGCTGCGCTTCTGCTCATTCCTGCTGCACACTTCTCTGCTCCCTGTGCTTGCTCTGACTTCTGTGGGCCCTTCATCGTCCCTAACCCAGTTTCAGAGTGTGCTGGTGTGGAGCTCCAGCTCACATATGGAGCTGCCCATGATGTGAAGGGATCTTGGCAGGCAGCTCAGGTGAACCTCATTCCTGTGGCAGTGTTCTTTGACTCCCCTTACCTTGTCCAGACAAGTCAGTTGACAGTTTGTGGGAGTTGTTCCCATCAAATAACTCCAGCGTGTATTTTCCCTTATCTGCGTCTGTAGGGTCCAGTATGTGAAGCCAGATCTGGTTCATGGTGCTCCCAGCTTTCAGCCTGTCACGGCTTTCCAGTTGTTTCTCCCTAGGTAAACACGTGATATAATTTCAGTGAGTATTGAGCAGAGCTGTATGAATTAGAGCACTAACTGGGTTTAGAGCTATTCTGGTTAGAGTAGGAGTGGGAGTCAGGATCTCAGGGTTAATTTCATGGAGAGTTACGTACTCAGTCACTTTTTAAAACCTCCTGGGGCACCTAGCTCTGCTTTTGGGCACTTTGCCAGAGCTCTGCAAACTCTACAAGAGACCTCTTAGTTCTGATTTAGGAGATTAAATAGGATTAAATGTTGAGTATTTGTAAGCGTTTAGCCATTAAACATTACTAAAAATTGGCTTCCTTATATGCATGTGTAGGTGGTGTCTAATAAAACACCACTTCTCTATGAAGACATCATGAGGCTAAATTAGTGTTTGAAAAAAGTTTTATAATGCTTGGGAATATTTGTTACACAGACTGGTTTTGGGAAGTGCAAAGTAGTAGAAATAAAGAAGTTGAAACAAACCAACTCCTTTTCCTGTCTGTACCTAAGGTGGCTGTAAGCGAGCAGTTTTGCATTGTAATGAATCATTATTATTCTAGGAAAGCTGTTCACTTCTGCAATGCTAAGATAAAAATAACATGACTGCTTAGTTTGGACTTCTCAGATGTGTTTCAGGATACAGAGGGAATTACGATTTTTAGCCCTTGCTCAGACAAATCTACCATTGCCTTCAGCTATGGGCTCAGGCCCAGCGTGTTTAATTTTGATGATAAACAGTTACAAGCAGCAGCATGGCAGAAGCCATGTGAATGTATTTGGGAACTTACTTGTGATACCAGGTTGTTTCCATGTAGTCTGTGTAGTACTTCACATTTGTGTAGATTTTGATGCCTTCTGCAGTAGGCTGAATTTTGAGAGGTGTAGCAGAAAGAGCTGGAAGTGTAATTGCAAGACCACAGTTGAGGAGGATGCTGAAGAATGCACAGTTTTACATGCTAGGCAAACAAAATCCCAAGCAACCTGTTAACATTCCTCTCAGGAGAATGTGAATAGTTGAAAGTAGGATGGTAGTCTACCTCTTGGAGACCCTGGATCTTTTAGCAGCATCCGTTCTAGAGATTTGGGTCTGGAACACACATCTTGTAGATGGAAATAGCACAGCTTGGCCAAATTCACATCACAAGTGATGTGACAAGGAGCAGGTGGTAGCATGTAAAGCTCACAGAATTAATTTATAAGTGCAGAGGGGCTTATATCCCTGGGTTTATTTACTGACCACCCTCCTTGACAGTTCAAAGGTACTTCTAACACTACAGCCATGGGAAGTGGGTGGTGGTGTACCCGATCCAAGCCCAGGACAGCTCTTGAGCAGTTGGCTCTGATAGTGACAGCCCATCTTTTCCCTTTCCACTATTACTGCGTCAGCTGGTGAGTAAGTGACATACCACTGATCCTGCACAGCTCCTTGAGAAGGTCTTCAAATGCTGCAAAGACATAAAGATTTAAGTGTCTACAAGTACAGTATTTAGCAGATTACATCTGATCTACCAACTTAATTATGTTTAGGATGTATTATATCTAGTAGCTACTTGTCTTTTTCTGTGACAAAACTTGCTAAGAATGGAGTTTTTGCCACAGTCTCATTTTTAGATGCTGGGCATTTTGTACTAAATTTAGATGCTTCTCTCTTCCTTACCACTCAACAGACTGCCTTGCAGAAGGCAGATTTATGTATCAGATTCAAGTGACAGATTCAAGAGCAAGAATCAGGGTAAGATTTAGTCTTGGAAAGCAGAATCTTGTGATTGATGCTGAGTTGAAGTGACTGCAACATTACTGACTGGTGCTTGGCAGCATGTCTACCGTGTTAATAGCTTGGTAAATGCCGATGTGTGTAAATGGCATTGGGGTGTCACAACTGCGTTATGTTTCAATTTCCAGAGCAGATTCTGCCCACTGAGAAGCGCAGCAGGAATCTGTGGGAACATGGGGTTGTTTCCACTGGAGGTTGTCTCTAGCTACTGTTCTGCTGTCAGAATTCAGCCCAGAATTTCTTTCACTTGTGGGGGATGTTGAGTGGAAGTTTGTGCTTCTGGTGCTTTGGAGGAGTGGCTGAACTTCCAGGAGGGAAAAGCTCTCTGTGGAATATCAAATGAAGTACAGTATGGGCAGATACAAAAACCCCTGAGGTCACATACAGAGGAAACTTGTTCTGTTCACTGGGCTCTGTGTAACTTCCAGAATAAGAGGTTGGTTTACACAGTGCATTTTATGACTCCAGTCGCAAGTGAAATACTTGTGATTTCTCAAATGTTCAGCATGCACACACACACACACATATGGTATAGTAGATCAGAAAACTCTTTAAATTTCACCAGTAACTTTTAAGGCAGGTTTTAACCCCTATAACAGCGTGTAGGTACTATGGCAAGTAACATTGTGGTAGAAAGCTATGAAATTAGATTTTAAATTCCAGCTGAATCCCAGGCAGGGTGTGAATGTGTATTATTGCCTGGTACAAGCTTCTTTTACCTCCTTTTGTGAGATCAAGTTGGGTGTAGTCCTCTCCTCGGTCATCTGAAACAACTGCTTTGTATTGGCCCTCATCTGCTTTGGTTATCTAGCAAATACATATGTACATATGGCATAATTATTGAAATAAAACAAAACCCAATCTCTGCCTCCCCCCCCCCCAAAAAAAAAAAACCCCAACACCAGCCCCCCTCCCCAAAATCTGAAAACAAACACATACCCAAAAGCCCAGCAGAAATTTCACATATCATTGAAATAGAGCAGGATTTGGAAAAGGGGAAGAAACTGAGATTTTCTTTTTCCCTCCCAGTGAATTAGGCTGGACTGGTCAGAAATGAGGACAAAAAAAGAGGCATTTTGCCCCAGAGCCTCTTTTGAAGGGTGGGAGGGGGCTCTGGTTCATTATGAACCAAGATGCTGTCAGTTAAGGGGAGTCTGTCTCAGGTTTTGCCCTCCGTTGCCATGCAGCACCCTGGGTGCCCGCGATGGCGTGAGGTGTATCTGGGACTGGTGATGCTGAATTTGCCTCATGTGGCTTTGCCAATGCTCTTGACTTCCAGCCTGCTGTGTCCTGCTGGCTCTCAGACTCACGTGAGCAGAGATTCCCCTTCACATACATTAAGCCACTTGTTTCCTATAGGTGATGTGGCTGTTTGAAATCAAGGTGAAAAATCGACCCCAAACAAGATTCACATTGAGCCACACAAAGATTACGCTAAAAGTGACTGTACTGTCCAGCTCCTGTCCTCAGCTGCGTCTTCTCTGGAGCAGAGTTAAGATTAGAAGCTGTTAAAAACATCTTATTTCCAATTCAGATCTATCTGACTATAATTTAAGACGGTTTATTCTTCTGTGCTTTTCTCAGCATTTGCTCAGTTTCTTTCTTGTAGCACTGCCCAAACAACACATGGAATATGTATTTTTCACATTTTCATGTGATCACCAAACCCTTTGAGTTGTTTTGTGGTTTTTACCTTTTTAATGCAAAGTGTTCCTATCCCAGTCTGCGGATCAAACGTGCCACCTGCTCGTGCCTTCTTATTGAAGAACCACTGGAAGCTGGTGTCCTTGCTCAGGTTTGCTGCCTGTTTGAAGTCAACATTTACAAGTCAGTGTCCCGAACGCATTTTGTTTCTGACTGCCTGGATCTCCTGATGTGAAACATCACTTGCATTAGAGGATTGCTCCAGAATCTTAGAAACTTCCTTCCCCACCAACATTTCTGTCCAAGATTTTCTCTCAACTTTCATTTGTCTGCAGATCAGCATTTGGATAGGCACTGTTCACACCCTAAAATTCACATCTAAAATTTAACGTTAAAGCAGTTCAGCGTCTGCAGTACCTTGCACGTCAGGAGTACTTCGCAGCTCTCGGTAACCTTCCATTTCAGGTTCTCAATGAAATGTGGGCCTGTAAAAGAAAGCCGCTGTCTTTCCAGTGGTTTTCCACCTCTCCCCCGGGTTACCTGCGGAGATGCTCCCATCTAGCGGTGGGTCCCCGCGGTGCGTGTATCGGGAATGCTTCACAAAGTGGAGTGTTGGATGCAGTGGCCACCGCAGTTAGGGCACGTAAGCCTTGCTGGGGTTTAATGTCCGCAGGTAGCGCATGTTTGAGGAATCCTGTCTCACAGTGTAGTTAACGATGCTGCCTAAGCAGTCTCTTTGACTTTGCATCAAGTCAGTGTAGGAGCTGACAGGCATTTCCCAGGGGAATCCCAATAGAATAGAAAAGCCACTTATACTGAACATCTCTGAAAACAGGAAACTGGACCTATAGTCTGGTATGACAGTTGTTATTAAGTGACTATTTTTATCCCTGCTGGAAGGGGATCACCTTTCCAATTGTAGGATTTTTTTTCTCTGAAATAGTTTTATAAACTTCCCCATTCATGGATATAAGATGGGGGATAAAATGGAAGTGGAATGCATTCTAGAGAATCCTGTTTTCTACAAGGCAAACGGGTGGATCTGAATTCCATGGTATATATTCACAGTGGACAGTTTCCAGAGTTCAAAAAAATGATCAGCCTTCCAGCGCTGCTGAGGAAGCTCTGTACTGAGGATTGTGGCTCACATGGTCTGTATACATCATTTGGGGTTTTAAGGTCTGGGCAGACTATCTTAAAGTGAGCAGTCTTGCCCTAATGTGTTAATCAGCTTCAATAAAAGAATTAAAAAGGATGTCAAAGTATTTAGAGCACTCAGTGGAGTTGTTCAGGTTCTGCCAACCTGCAGCTCATCTTACCCTGCTTCTTCTTCCATTGTCTTCGTTTTGCATCAGCCTCCTCCGCGACTTTATCAAAACCTGTGAGAACAGCAGTGGTCAGACTTAACAGCTCCCACTATTTCTCAGTGTAACACTTTAGAAACTTATAATTATGAAAAATATTATCCTGAGAGCTGTTGCATTTGGCCATAGGACATCTCCAGTGCATGAGCTGCCCCTGATCCCCACTGAGAACCCCTGCATTTAGCAAGCAAAACAGGAGTTTTGGCTATACAGAAAGGTGGGCTGGAAACCCTGAAATTAAAATGTTTAAAGAGTTAAGAAACACAAAAGGCACAGAGAGCACAAAATTTACCTCTGCTTTAGACCATCTCTCCTTTCATTGTCAGGAAAGGAAAATGGGCACTTTTAGAGCACAGTTCATCAAACTTATTTTATATCCTGATCTTAGCATGTGCTGAATCCCTCTAAAACCAGCTGTAAAGGGAGTCAAGTAGATTTGACATTTTATAGACGCTTTGCATTCAGAAAGTTTGGAAGCTTTAGAAGGTCACTTGAAAGCAAACTGTTTGCAAGAACTGAAAAGAAACACTTCATGGGGAAATATTTGAATGAGAATCTTGTTACTTTCTATTTTTAATGAATTTTAAAAGGGCTCTCTGTACCAGCATACACAAGGACCCTGGCTGCTTTGTGTTCAGCTTGCTTTGGTGCTTGGACTCCTTGAGTACAGTGGACACTGGTTTCTTCATTGCATTCAGTTTAATGCAATTAACCAGCTGTTAAATACACTGAATATTCAACCTGTGTCCTGTGATAAATGAATACAGGTAATAATAACATGTTATAGAGTTTACTGCCAAGGTACATTTTGCCCTAGCAAGATAATATGTAAAACATTTGGAAAAATAACTGAGCATTCCACTGGATGTTTTCTTTAACAGACCATTTTTATGCTCAAGGACCCTATTTATAAGACCAAAAGCTTCAGTTTATGTTAAAGAGAAATTTCTTACATGATTCTTGGACGTCAGATGTGTGCTAAAATAAACACTTGTTCTCCCCATTCTCAGAACGCCATTATAACAGTCAGAAATACTTTAGGGCCTTAAGTGCTTAGAAAAGTTTCCACTGAGCATGGCAGGCTATATTTGATCTTGAATTCCCACTTACATTCATCCACAAGAACGAGGGTGAATTGATTTTTAGCTTTTCCGTCTTGCAGCTGGGCTGTGTACAGCCCTTTATCATCCTCACAGAAGTTCTGGATTATCAGTTCCACGAGACCTTTCTCTTTGACAAAGTTTATTTTATGTGTCTGTGTAAAACAAAGGAAATAGGAGAAACTGAATAGTGTTTCTGCAGCAGAACTGTTCTGAGGTCAGATCCTGGCACAGCAGCTTCTTCAACACTCAGACATTACAGTCCTTTTATGTACATATCCTTACATATACATATCCTCACATATACATATCCTCATCTGAGAGAAGTGGTGAAGCCAGTGCACTCTGATGTTCTCTATTCTGAGGTTTGTCTCCTGCTTGGTGATGTATAGGGGTAGCGTGCAATTGCTCACAGCAGAACTTTTCTCTGGGAGAAAGTTTCTGTTAAAACCACATTGCACAATATGTTCTTCCTTGTTGGATACTACAGACTTCTCAGCTTACCAGAATCTGTATGCTTTTTAGTATAACTGAAGTGTTGCACTTAAGTTACATGTCTGTGGCATTAAACTGCATATTTGGGCAATGATGAGTAATATTGCCACCCTCTTGACATCGTGAAAGCACTCTTGAACCCTTTATACGTACACCCTGAAACCTGCCAGATGCTTGAGCACAGATATCAAGGCCTTGCCCTACCATAAAGGCTCACTGCCTTGTTTTCTCTGAGCAAATATTATCGTTACAAAGAGCTCAACAAATACCTTGTGATTGTGCATAGCCATGTCAGTCCTCCAGTATAGAAAAGACAGTTCTTAGGCTAGATAAAGCCTTCAATAAACTTGCTCCCCATTGCTTTAAAAACCCAAAGTGGCACTAACAGCTCTGAAATCCCCTGGCCTTGTCCCATCCCTTTGTTGCATCTGCTCTGTTTGTTGTCTTGGCAATACTCCACCGTGTTTAACCACAGGCGAATGATTTATACTGCTCTTCATTCTCAACTGTTCTCCCCTCTGGTTCTGTCATTCCAAATGCTTTCTAAATGTTACAATATTAACTTGATATGGGAAAACAAGGGAGAGGCTGGGACAATTTGTAAAATGTATTGGAAGGTTGGGGTGCACTGTGACACATGAGGAGTGTTATTTCCAGGGCCTCAGACTGACAAATAAATCACTTTTGTCTGCTCTTGGAACTCAGGAGACTTATCCGTGTTCAGTTCAAGCAGACAGGGTGGAAGTTGCAGCTTTGCTTGGTAAAGCAGGTAAAAAGTACTCTGCTTCATTGTGAGAGATGGTGTTTCTTTAGCACCCACTGAAATGAGTTTGTTCATCCAACACAAGGCTCTGAGCAGCACGGGTGCATTTGTGGTGTCAGATGAATTACACATGGCTGAGGTTTGTGGTCAGAAAATACCCTTAGAAAAGGGCAGGATTGCCAGAGGCAGCCTCTAGGGAGGGGGTGGATACCAGGGAAGCAGGGTAGGGAGGGATGTTCTCTGAGTGTTACTGCCCGAGGTTTTGCTGGCCTTAGCATTGAGGAACACTGCACTAACAGTGTCAGTGCTGCAGCCTTGCTTGATGCTAGGACTAGGCAGCTAGAATCACACACTTGGCTTTCTGTTTATGCACTGTGGCAAACCAAGCTGTTCCAAAAGCACCCATCAAAGTATCTGATGGGAATTCAGGGAACTGGGAATGTACCCATTTGCTCTACCTCCCTGTTCAGCGTGGGGGGAGTCAGTCAGAATTACGGGCAATCGGAACATACCGGAGTACTCTTGAGTTCCTTGTCGTTGAAGATTAAATGCAGCTCTGCATTTGGCGACAGCTTTTCAACCTCCAGCCATAGCCGCACTTCTCCTTTCTCCAGAACATCGATGTTCCATCCAGATATCAGTTTGATCACTGGAAAACAGAGCACCGTGGAAGGGAATTCACAGGCAAAGCACAGGATTTGGCTCAGCCAGGGTCGTGCCAGTCTGTCCTTATGGGAGTGGCTTCTTCCTGGTTCAACTTACGTGGGTTCCTGATTTCATGGCTGCGTTTCAGTAACTTGTCCAGATCTGAGGTGCAAAGAATAGCAAGATTAGTACAACCAGGCCAAGCCAAATGCATTGTATCGATTTAATGTAATTTGCTCATTAGCTTTATTTATGTCAAGAAGAAGGTGAGTACCAAACATTCAGTAGCAGGGAAAACTAGAAAAGGTTCTGAAGATTCTTATTTACGTCTGAATAAAATCTTGATTGGATCAGTTCAGAAAGCACAGAAGTTTTAAATCACTGTGATAGTGTATCTGTGTGTGAAATCTGAACTGTGATGGAAAAACAACCTTCCAGCAGCATGGAATCTTTCTCAGGGGACTGTAAAAGAAACTGCCCTTGAGCCTTCAAGGAATGGGAAACATCTTTCTAATGATGCCACTATCGCTAAGTGATGTCAGTCACTTACTATTCCTCTGCAAGAAACTTTCCTCTCGACATCTAATATTAGCAAGTTATGGCTCATCAGATCTTTGCTCTTTTCATTTATTAGTTTTTACCTTCTTTTGTTAAAGTGCGGCTGGCCGAGATATCATCATCCACATCTGTGACCTCCACGGAATATATGCCCAGATCCTTTTCTGATGGCTCTTTCAGTATAAGCTTAGATCTTAGGAATAAAAATAGTAACAATAAAAATTACAATTTCCTCAGAAATCGCTCTGGAACAGAATGCAGCACATTTGGTACAGCCGGAACACTGAATATAGTGCTTGTTGTCATTTGTATATGACACCGAGGAGCAAGGCAAACACATCAGCAACGTGGTGGCTGATGCTTCCCTTCTGTGACCTGGAGATAGCACTGAATGCCCCATTTCTTGGACACCAGAGTTGAGATCAGGGGTCAGAGATATGCGGTTCAATAGTGTTTATGTATTTTGGCTGAACGCTGGGAGAGAGAGACATTTGGCTTCTCCTTTTTCTCAGTGGTAGTATGTTCTTTGCAGATAGTTTTCTTAGGGTATGTTATATACTCACTTATTGCCTTTCTCTTCCATCTGAACCCTGTCAGCATCTGGTGGTCCTTCATAGTCCTTTGTCCAGATAAATTCAGAGGAGTCATTCTTTTCAGGAGCTTCAAAAGCCATGTAAATGAAACCCTCTTCATCGACCCCAAGTTCAATTTCATTTGTGCCTGTATAAGCAAAAAACCCACAAGATATTCCTTACCAAAACAGGTCAAGGCTTAGCTTCTGGTCATCTAGCTAGAGTGTACAGCTTGAGTGAATTAATATGGGCAGTTTGATTTGTAATCTTCATTTTGTCTGGGGTTCATTCTTGCTATGAAGGATGAAGCCAATGATTCATAAAGCAGGTTTTTACTGGAATCATCATAGGATTTACGAACTCGCACAATCTCACCACTTTTAGTTTTATACCAGGTTTGGTTTTAGCCACCACAGGATCTGAGGGGAGTGAAGGGGGTCCAATTCCAGCTTTGTTCTGTGCTCTTACTCGGAAAATGTAGCATTTCCCTGTCTCCAGATCTGAAACCTGCAGGAAACAATGATGGGAATTATCATAAGACTAAACAAGAAGTGACACGTAGATACTAAGCAAGTGTGCATACCTTCATATGGGTGGTGGCTGTGGGCTGCTTATTCAGTTGTTTCCAATCCTCTGACCCTGCTTCACACATGTCCACATAGTAGCCTGTGACTGGAGAGGCTCCTGTGTACAGTGGAGCTTCCCAGCGGAGCTGCAAGGATGAATCCCTTACTTCAAAGCACTGCACATCGTAAGGGGGCCCTGTTCAAAGAAAGGCAGGCTGTCAAATGGTGACATTAAAAATGCAACCATCTGCATCTTGTTTGAGTTTGAGATCAGAAAGCAGAGGTTTATGATAACGAGAGAGTAGCGGTTCCACAGGAGATGCTGTCTGTGCATAAATAATACCCTGCTTCTGAATCAGAACTTCCCTGTGAGTGTCTGTGCTTTCTGTGCTGGGAGCACTCTTGTACAGACCTATAGTTTTCAGAAGTCCCTCAGATTCAGGGGAGGGTGAGGACATAACTGGTACACCTCATAATATTTTTATGTCTGTTTTTGCAGGAGAGGTACCTGGTTCTCGCATCGTCCATTCCTCACATTTGAACGAGTCGCTGGGTTCAGATACTTCCCCTACACCAGCCATGTTCACAGCAGAGGCACGGAATTGGTACAGGTGACCTTCCTCAAGGTTGCTCACCTTTGGGTTTGGAAGTGCAAACGCGTTATTAGCACAGCCCTGCGTGGTTGTCATCTCATGAGGGGAGGACGAGAGCTCTAGACTAGAGGAACTAGAGGAAAACCCCCTCAAACCCTTGTTGCAGCTGCATTTCCCACTGTACTTAAAGGCCACTATTGTATCTTAAGTGAATACCGTGTAAACTCGTTGAGGAGTGGGCTGAATGTTGACTTCATGCCAGTCCGGTTCAGCTGTATCATGCTGATCTAGGAAATAACCCAGGATCTTTGCTCCTCCCTTGCGCTTCGGGGGCTTCCAGGCAATGGTCATGTTGGTCTTCCCACAGTGCAGGAGAACAAACCCGTGCGGTGCTGATGGACAAGCTGCACAGCAAAGGGAGAGAGGACCGGCTACTCAGTGCATGTTTGGGGTCTAGGGATTGGGAAAAGCTGTGTAGGTTTGGGATGAACTGGGCTGAGGACATTTCTGCTCATTCCAGGTGTGATTCTGTTTGTGTTAACGCCCTCTAAGACCACTTTTGCAGTGTAAAAGTATCTGAAAATGACCAGATTCTTCTTTGGAAGTTGCAGCAAAAGTCACGGATGTGTCTCAGGATGTTTCTTGCATATTGCTTTATGGTTTGTCTGCCAGAAAACAGGAAGCAGAGGGTTGATAAAGTGGAGAAGATGGAGGGTTAGATGCTGGCTCATGTGGTTGGCAGGGTTTGGTAACTGATCCAAAGGAATTCACTGTGCTGGTTTCAGATACCAGCACAACTGAGCACTTGGTGTGGTCACTTGTACCAGTGCCAAATCCCGAGGATGTAGCACACAGCTAAGCCAAATGGTGATGAACTGCCCACCCTTGGTGAGTGCAATCCGTGGCGGAAGCTGCAGGTTGCAAGAAACTCAGTTCCCTGATGCTTCACTTACCTGCTCGACATTACCCTTCTGTGTAATAATAGCTCTGCATGTAGATCCATGTTTGAGGGATTGGATTTCAGTGTGTAGGGCACACGTGGATGTTAGTACTTACCAATAGCTGGCCGTACAACGATGGGATCTGTTTCTGGTGAGCTTTCACTGAGTCCTGCCTCACTGACAGACTTCACACAAAAGACGTACTCTTTTCCAGGCTGCAGCCCGGGAACAGTAAATCTGGGAGAGGAAATTAATGTTAGTGTTTGACTGTTCAGAGCACAGGTAAACAGTCTTTTGAACAAGCAGCAAGGCATTTCAGTGAGGAGTTGTTACTGACAAAACCATTACTTGCCATTCCACGTTAAAGTGCACTGTGTCATGTAAAACGGTATCAATAAATCAGACCGAGAGGTACCCGTCTGCCTGGGTTAGCTGATGTTGTCAGTAGAATACATAGGAATTTTTAATGGACTTTTTCTGCTTGCTGTGTCCACCCCTCAGCTAGAGAGGTATTCTCCATCCTAAGTGTGAGTGATAGCAACTCACTGTGTGGGAAAGCAAGCAGAAAACTGGGATGTGGTTCTGCTGGTGCCACAAGGTCCATCCACCCTCTGCAGAGCCCGAGTCCCTGAAGATGGACACAGACTTTGCTGTCAGTCTGGCTTTGGATGTAGAAGTGAGACTGTGAGCATGAGTTCACGCTAACAGAGGCCGTGGTGGCTGTGGGCGTGCAAGCCTCTGTGTGTGCAGAGAAAGTTCTTTTTTTAGCTGAAATCTGACTCCAGCCATAAAGAGAAGAAGCCAGGCTGGCACCCTGTCTGCTCCCAATGGGGTGTAATAGCTGAACTCACTTGTTGCATGTCACGGGCTTATTATTGACAGTTTGCCATTCTTCTGTCCCAGTCTCCCGACAGTATATGTAATAGCCAAGGGGCTCCAGACCATCCTTTAGCTTATCCCACTGCAGAGCAACAGATGTCTTGGTGTCTCTGAAAGCTAAAACCTGGGATGGTGGAGGCAGAGGAGCTAAAAAAGAAAATAAAAAAAAGCACAGGGAAAGATTAGGGGGGTGTTAAAATTTATAAATTAAACCTAAAAATGATGAGTGACTTGGCCTGTTTGATTTATTGACCTTTTCCAGAGCACCATTTTCAAATCAGGGCAAATATCACAGGCATCATCCCGGTCTATAGCCTGTATTTCTGCGTTTGGGTTTGCTGTATCTCATATTCCTCTCTTGTACAGCCCATTGACTGCTGCAGTTACACCTGCTCAGCCTGCTCTGAGGTGGAGGAGAAACAACACTCATATAGTAACTGGTTACTGCTGCTGTGAAACAGGAGCAGGACAAGCTGCCTCCACAGCCGCATCATTCCCTCCCTTCCCTTTCCCTGTCACCTCTTACACAGAGCTGGAAGCAGACACGGATTAAACACAGGCTTCCACTGTTTCTTAGCTTATTAAATGTAATTCCCCATCATTGCTTGCTTAGATTTACACTCCACTGACCAACTGCAAAGCAATTAAACAAGGATTTAAGGCTTTGAGAGATTTCCTGGTATCAAAGCCACTGCTGTGTAATCATATACCATGAGGTTTAACGGAAAGGGGGGGCACGGGAACCCACACATTACTTTCAGAGTACCTCTCCTTCTCTGTATCAGCAGCGTAGAGCACACTAATGACACCCTTACCCAGTTTTGCTCCAGCAGTGACAGGCTCGCTGGGCAGGGATGGCTCACTGAGTCCATACTTGTTCATAGACCGCACACGGAAGCAGTATGATTTTCCTTTAACAAGATCAAAGAGTGCAAATCTTGGGGCATTGGCTGGCATGTCCAGATTAACCATTTGCCAGGAGTTGCTGCCTACAAGCGACTGTAACGAGAAAGGTGATGATTTACAGCTCCAGCTTAAAACCCTCCTAACAAAGCTGATCTTTACAGGAAAGTAGTTCAACAAAACTACTGAATAACGTATTTGCTGCTAAACCCAAACTTTCTTTCCTTGGCAACAGAGGTCCCCTCTGCAAAAAAAAATGGTACAGTAGGTGGGAAATGAGTATGTATGAAAGGAGATGGATAGGAGATACAAACTAGCTGGCAAAATGCTGAGTGGGGAACAGGAAAATGAGCCAATTTGACATTGTGCACAGCTCTTCCACACTTAGGAGCCATATGGGCAACATAGGAAGACTTAACGTTAGTCTTCCTGTTAAACTCTGCCACTATTCTGTGGTGTAAAACTTTATTCTTTGTTTATCATTACTACTTGAATTGGTGTTGGGAGTGTGGATCATAGCTCAAGTGTGCTGTGGAGCTGCAGAGGGGCTGAGCAAGCCATTTGTGAGGCTGTCGTTCTCTGGTTACAACCCAGGGAACAGCCTTGCCTGTGCTACAGACCTAAGAAAAAAGTGATTCTGTTCTGCAGGTTCCCCTCCTATGTGTTCCCCTCCTATTTTCTTACCTTTTCCACATAATATTGCAGTGGCTCTTTGCCTCTTGGATCTGGCTCATCCCAAGCCAAAGCCACATAATCTTCTCTGACCTCACTTGCATGAACATTGGTGGGTGGCAAGGGAACTTTAATATGTCCTGTGGGAAGACAGAATAGGCTTTGCTTTAGTTAGAGACTTGTAGGAGCAAAGAATTCTTTTACAATGGGTTATGTTTTCCCATTATAAAGTAAGATTCTTCAGTATAAAGGAGGAGTCTTCAACCCTTTGGGGACATAGAGGCAAACCAAGTTTATTATAAAAGGCTGTGCTGTTCAGGACGGGTTCTGATCCTTGCACCCCTTACAATGAGGTTTCATGTGTCTGTTTTCCTGTGTTTTCTCCAGGGTCAGGTTATTACAGACCTCATGACTGTGGAACAATCATTCCTCGCTGAGAGAATGTCTCAGGAGAGATTTGAACTTACCTTCCAGGTCATCCTTCAGGATTTCTATCGTCCGGCCTTCGTCATATTGGATAACTGTAACATCAAACAGGTCCATGTTAGCCCCCGAGAGGAGATGCTTGGGGTTTGTCAGGAGAGGCAGAGCCCCGAACTGTGTCACTTCACTACACATGATTATATCCATTTCATTACACATGCAGTGAAATGTCATAACGGGTATTTTGATCTTTCCCTGCTCCCAGGAGCACTGAGGTGGGGTCAGCGTGGCAGCACCGCAGTGATGTTTGTGAGCATGGGGAGAACCCGGGCGAACCCTGTTCAGATATACCTGCAGCCTCACACTGTACTTAAGGAGCGCGTTTCCCTGGGTTTAGTACAAACCTGTCACTCTCTTGTCCTTGCTGGGGTCATATGTTGTAACTGGATCACTGGGTTTTGAAGGATGACTTACGCCCTGTTTATTGACAGCCTTTATGCGGAACTGGTATGTCTGTCCTTCAGCAAGGCCCAAGACAGGGTGTCTGCAGGTCTTCACAGGCTTCTCATTGCATGGGACCCAGTCCTCTGACCCAACAACACACCTGAGGTGAAACACAGCCCATGGACGTCCTGCATGGGTTTTCCACAGCACCATCATGAGCTTTTCTTGCCAAAGGTGGTGAACATACCGACCTTTCAATATAATAGCCCAGGACCGGACTTCCTCCATGATCACTGGGTGCCACCCAGGAGAGGGTCAAGCAGTCTTTATGGACATCATGGCATTTCACGTTGAGTGGGGACCCGGGTGCCCCAGCTGTTTCTGCTGCCGCATCTGTGGAAACACCAAGGGACAGTGCTTAGGGTTATTTTATTCTCTGTACCCACATTTTCATTCAGTAGCTTAATTTTAAGTGCCTAAGGGCTTACATCCCATAACACAAGTCGTATTTTCTAATCCCTCAGTCGCTACTGAAAGTAACATTTGGACATTTTGATAACTGTATCCATGCACAAAATCAGGAGATACCTTCTTGTGTGTGAGGTTGTGAATTCCTTTGTGCCAAGCTATTAGGAAAGGAGCTTTTGTTCTAAGTAAGGTAGAATCCTTGTACCTCTAACAAACACGTAAGTGGTCTGCTCTTTATATCCATCCAGCGAGGGCACGTGGATAGTGTAGAATCCTTCATCTTCTTTGTGAGCACATGCCACGGTCAGAGAAGCCTCCCGATCTTGGTACTTTAGTTCCTGGCATTCAGAGTTCTGCAGCAACTCTCCTGTGAAGCACGAGAAGGGGTGAAGGACTCCCCCAGCACCGGTGGTTCAAGGGCAGAAAAAACCACCCAGCAAGACAAGGGAGCTGTAAACCACTCCTGGTATTATTGTTGTGTCTCTGAGTTATAGCCGTGGACTCTGACCCTACTGTGCTGCTATGCCTCTTTGTGCACAACAAATACAGAGCAAAAAGATGGTCCTTGCCCTGAAGAGCTTGCAGTCCAGTGAAGGCTTCAGGTGAATTAGGGAATAAAAGCTATTCATATAGGGCAATGGATATAAACGTTGTTGCATACAAACCATCTCTGAACCAGGTGATGTTTCGCTGGTGTTCAGGTAAATCAGAGGAGAAGTAGCAGGAGAGGGTGAAAGGCTCCTTTTCTCTTGCAAATAAGGGTTTCAGTGGAAAAGCAAAATCTGCTTCTCTGGCCATAAGGGATCCTGTGAAATAAGAATAGAAGTCAGGATGACTTCTGAGAACCTTCCTCCTTGTAGTGTTTATTATCATGTGTTTGGAGTAGAACCTAAGCCTTGCACTTCTCACATGCAGTCAGGCCAATAGGAAAAGCTATAGCTCAGCTTCAAAAAGAATCAAATTGCTTCAGGCTATACAAAGAAATAAGAACAACAGCAATCATTTACTCACTTCTGTATATTTCTGAATCAAATCCTGACTCCTTTCCATAATACTCTGTAAGATAAGGGAAAACACATTTAGGAAATCTCCTGCCGGTGTTTATCTTCCCCTCAAACCCATACAATGATACTCAGCAAACTGGGCTTTTCCCTCAAACCAGCTCCTACTGCGAACCTTCAGAGTGTCGTCATGGGGTAACACATGCATTTGTTTGACAGCTGATGATTGTCACAAACAGCTGAGGATGCAGCTCCCCAGGAACTGGTTCATATGATGCAAGTGTAAGGAGTACTGCTGTTAATGCTCGTGAGTTGCTCAGAGCTGAGGGTTTCCACTTGGGCTTCTGCCTTGGTAAGCTGCACTGGGGATGTTTTGCTGGATCAAAGCCTGCATACAGGGAGCTGCAGCTTCTGGCATGAGCATACTGGTATGGTAGTGTCCCATAGGATCACCCATAACTGCAGTGCCTCAGTGATGTCTCTGTCTGGAGGCCGAGCAGGACAGGGACTCGACACATACAGCACAGAAAAGGGGTTATAAACGTTACTGAAAGTGGGATTTGGCCAAACCCCTGGGTTTAAGCAGCATTCCCAGCGGATGATGTGGGATTCTTGAAGACTACGGGTGACTGGGACTTCAAGCTTTAACTGAAGTAAAGGCTATCTGTCCTGAGACATTGAGGTAACTCCTGGAGCTGAGGGAAGTGTGCTTCCTACCAAAACACTTGCTTCAACAGCCGTGGGTTCTTTGGAAGCATTGTACCTGAGTGCTTCACTGATCTAGCTTGTGAGCACTGCTCATGGCAGCACTAAATGAATCGCTTGGAGCTGCAATCTAAGAAGTGATGCACTTAACACAGGGTGCAGCTGAGATGCTTCCCTTTCTTATCTTTATAAGCCTCAAGAAACACACATAAAATAACGTCTCTTTTTTCAGTGAGTGGAGCTTGACAGTAGCAGAGCTCACTCATAAGCAAAGGTGAGGACTGAGTGTTAACAGCTGAAGAGGAAAGAAATAGAATGATGAGAAGTGGAGTGCAAGCCTCATCCTGGGTCCTGTGAGACCCTCAGCAATGTCTTTAGGGAAGGTGAACTGCTGCTGCAGGAATCACGGATCTCGGAGACCCTCCCCTGGCATCAAGGGTATTCCAGACAGCATGGGGCTGGGAAGAGAGATGCCGTCAGCCTCCCTAGCAGGATAAGGAATGTTTCCAGTGGAGGCAGGATTAAGGCCTCGGTGTAGTCTCTATTTTCAGAATGTTAAATGCAAATAGAAAAAGGAAGACTCATGTTACTGGGGTGGCGTCAGGCAGGGTCAAGGCAGAAGGACCAGAGCAGGCCTCTCACCTGCAGTCACAAGGAGCAGTGTTTGCAAGGGGTTTGAAATGTGGGTCAGGCTGATGCAGGGCAGTTCAGTCAGGCATTAGAGGTGAAGAGAACAGGCCCCTCCAAGGTTCTGTGGGACACATCACAGCCCTTACTCTTATCATCAGGTCATCAGACCCTAAAGATTCTGACTGGAATTGGGGGGAGTCTGTCATTATTGCTATGGATTTTATTGTTGAGACAGCCGCCTGTGCTTTATGGCAAAGGCTCCATTCCTGAGGTCTGGATATACCATAAGAACCTCTACAGCAGAGAAGTGTTGCACGCCTGGTGGCTTTTGCTGCATTTCTGCCTTTGGGTAAGGGGAATAGGAACCTGGGCAGACTTGCAGCTGAAGGTTTTCTGGGCTATCCACATGTCTCTTTACAACTGGTAAATGCATGCTGCGTATTTCCAGATATGCTGAATGTGACACTGTTTAATTAAAGGATTTGGAACTGCCATAAGCAACACACTTCAGACCAATTCTGGAGCCACATTCTTCTGTACGTGTGTATATCCCCAAACGGCATTCATGCAAAGAATAAGTGTGTGAATAACATAACCCATGACAGAGCCAAGAATGTATTAAAGCACTAAAAATAAAAATACTGTCTAAACCAAAGAAGACCCCTTCTGACTGAAGAAATAGCTCGAGCTGGCTTTGCAGTTCAGTCAGTCAAAGAAACCCATCTCTTCATGACCAGTAAGATCCAAAGCAAACCTCTTCCCTTCCTTGTCATTTGCTACCACTGGAATTACTCCCTGGGCTTGGTCAGTCCCACTGAAGCATTTAGTTCTCTGCAGTTCTGTCAGTCTATTCTGTTCAGGCTTTTTATGACAAAATTGTTATTTTTTTATATATATGCATATATATACATAGATGAAATGTGAACAGCAAAACTATTATCCTATGAGACTGCACTGCATATTTCTTAATGCTTTATATAACTCCCCTTTTGAGGTGCTGGTAGTTTGCTTCCTTCACCATATGTCTGGATTTGGCTTGTGCAGAATGTGCATCTATGAGTCTACGCCAGCTATTTTAAGAACAGCAGAGATCAAAGAAGAAGACCTTGTATTTGTTCTTGGTAGTTATTGGTTTGAGAGAGAAATACAGTATTCTGTGCACCATCTCACTGCAGTGTCCCTCTGAAGCCACATGCCTGTTAGAAATGCAGCAGACTCTTTCTAAGCCTGTTACATGTCTAACTTACAGCTGATTCGTACCAGTCCAGAAGAAGTAAGTGCCTCAGTTTAGTACAGTTTCAGCACATAAGGACAGCTGTGTCCCTATGGAATCTGAAAGATTTTGCCTCAGTCCAGAAGCAACTGAGAAAGAGGAGCCCTGGTATCAGGCACATACGTGCCAGTTAGTGGTAGCTAAGGATTATATTAGCCAGTTGTGCTTTCTCCTCACTAATAGCTGAGAGTTCTCTCCTATTAACAGAGTGCTCACTTCTTTCTCTTTTTTTGTCTTGTATTATATTAGATTAGATATATTATTTTCTTATATATACATAATATATATACATAATATTATGTATATATACAAAATATGTATATATAATATATACAAATATATATATTTGTATATATAATATATACAAAATATATTATATACATTATATAATGAATAGCATTGAAAATAGTTTTAAGAATCTAAGGAATCGGAAAGTTTAAAACCAAAGGGACATTTTCTACTTACTCCTGACAAGCACAGTGGCAAAGGAATAAGCCTCGCCATACTGATTCTTAACTTCAACGCTGTATTCAGCAGAATCTTCCATGGAGCATCTGAAAAAAACCCCAACATTTCCCCTCCTTTTTAGCTTTCAGTTATTGTTCAGCCTTGTGACCTTGAATTTGTCACAGCACCCCTTTAATCCCAGAAGTCAGAAGGAGAGACTGGCTTTTTAGCAAGAAGCTGCTGTTTCACTGATTACAAAGATTTCTTATACTTGTGGCCAATTTTTTTGTCTCGGTACCCAGAAGAAAAGCATCTCAAGTGATGAACAAGCAGAAGACCTGTGGAACACTTTGTTCCACTGAAGACATGTGCGTCTTTAGCACATGTGTAATTTGCAGATCTGAACTATCAGTTACATAGATGCTAAATCACAGTGGCGTGTGTGCTCATGAAATGCTCCTAACGGGCACGGCCTTGCCCTGAATGAGGACATTTTGGCCATGCCTAGAAAGAGGAGCAAAGGCAAAAAGGTTCTGCATGTTTTGGTAGACATTTTAAGCCTCATGAACTGCTGCTGAGATCGCTTCCTGATGCCAGAGGTTTGGCTCCATCACGCTGCAGTCAAGCAGGTCAGGCTTCAGAGAATGATGTTTTTCTATTTAGCATGCACAGAGTGGGGCTTTAGGGAGAGCAGGTCTTACTAAACTGAAAACCAGCTCAGACAGGAGCACACACGTTACCTGCTGATGTGCAGGGTCAGCATCCCAAACTTGTTTTTTATCTTGTATTTTCCTGCTGGGGCCAGGCGAGGGTCAATGCGCACCCCGTTCTTGTACCTGCGTGAGCGCAAAGGAGTCGTGCTGAGAGGCAGAGAAATGCACTGGGAAAACCCCACTTTATTCTGAAATGAACCATGTCAAGCACAACAGAGGCACAACAGGGAAGAGGAGCAGACACCATTCCCTCTCCCAGGGGTCTCCCATGTCAGTCGAGCAGAGCCCTGCAAGCAACCAGACATCCCCCAGCCTGTCCGTGCCCCTTCCCCAGGCCTGCTGCAGGCTGTGGTGGCAGCTTCATGTTGGTGCTTCCTCCCCAGTGTATGCTCCCTGCACTGCAGCTTGTGGGAGGGAGTGGGAGCAGATGGCTCCTGCTTTTCTTTCCCCACTGGGGATCTGTGGGAGGTTCATACTCTCTTTGCTCTTTGAAGAATCCAAAGAGGTTGCTCTGGAAGGACAGAGGACGTCAGGAGCTCTGACAATAGCAGAGTTAGCTGCCTACGAAGTCATTAGTAATCCAAATGTTTGCATACTTCAAACCTTCCATGGGAGGAATGGTTAATCGCTCCAACAAACAGATCCAAAAACACTTTGCAAATTGTTTTGGAGCTGATCTTTCGTTTGTTTCCATCCCTCTTTTATTAATGGTAAACGCTGCAGTCAGGCCCAGTACATCACCCTTCCTCTGCTGAGTAAACGAAAGAATTGCTTTGTATTTTACAAATTGTAGAGGCAGTAACAGTTTAGTGGCACAACTTGCATGGTATCCACGGTAGCCAAAGAGTCCACACCCCCCCCTTGGCGGTGTGTATGTGTGCAGTGATTTAGCGCTGACAATAAGTTCTGGTTTCTCAGACGTAAATCCCAAGTTTGCACTCAGGCTGGAGGTCAGCAGCCAGGGAAGCAGGAAAACCTATGTGAATATCAGCCCTATCCCAGAAGGAGCCCCAGGGGACTTTCCACTGCCTCTGCAGCCCACTGAATGGTTCATGCCTTTATTGGTCCTAACAGTGGGACTGGAGGATTGAGGTGTTTCCTGTGGTTTCTGAAGCTCTCCCTTCCTCCTCCTAGCAGGACACACACAGCTGTTAGTCCCCTGCCTGCTTCCCCAGACACACACAGGCTGTGAGTAGCAGCAGGAGTTATGGCTGGGGCTGACGTACCATGTAACCTGCGGCGGGGGGGAAGCCAGGACCGTGCATGCCAGCGTCACCTCCATCCTCTCCCAGACAGTGTGGACTCTGAGCGGGATCCAGAACATCGGCGCCCGCCCCGAAAGCAGCTCAACGTATTCCTTCTCCATACGAGCCTTTTCTAGAGCCTGTGACAAGGCAATAGTGGCACGGGCTCTTTTACAAATAAAGGCAATAGTGCACAGAGCCTTTTACAAAAGGGACGTGTGTGATAGTGCTTCAGTGCAGGAGTGTTAGGCCTTGTCCCTATCGCTAATGGTTTTGAGTTTCTCCCAACACCTGATCAGGTTTAGGATCCTCTCTGGAATTCTACTTCATCTTGGCATTTCTGCTAGAATAGAGATGACTGAATAGGGATGCTGGAGAGGGACTCTTCATTAGAGACTGTAGTGACAGGACAAGGGGTAATGGGTTAAAACTGAACCAGGGGAAGTTTAGGTTGGATATAAGAAGGAAATTCTTTCCTGTTAGGGTGGTGAGGCACTGGAATGGGTTGCCCAGGGAGGTTGTGAATGCTCCATCCCTGGCGGTGCTCAAGGCCAGGTTGAACGAGGCCTAGGGTGATATGGTTTAGCATAAGGTGTCCCTGCCCATGGCAGGGGGGTTGGAACTGGATAATCTTAAGGTCCTTTCCAACCCTAACGATTCTGTGATTCTATGACTGATCTGACCTTCCTCCGAAGGGCCTTCCGGTCAGCTCTCACACGCAGCAGTCTGCAGTTCCAGATAACCTCCTTTTCCAACTTCTCCATGTAGTTCCCAAAACGAATTGTCTTTTGCCCCCTCTGTTCTAGCTCTAGGATGTCAGCTTCTCTTCTTATCTTGTAATCCCTGGAACACAGGATGACAAAAGCCAACAGAAGTTAGGGTAATGCTTTTCATTTTGTTTTGGTCTTTTTGGTTGTTGTTTTGCAGCGCATATTTTTGGTTACATCAGAATAGGTGTTAAGGACAGAAACATCAGCTTGCATGTGGTGTGAGTAAGAACATCCTTCCAGTGTGCCTCATAGAAAGCAGCAGTTTTGCCATGAGAAACAGTACTTTAGTGGCAGAAGAAGGGGTCCCACTATTTGACCACTTTTAATCCCAGGCAGGGCACTGGGAGAAGGATTAAAGGGAGGAGGGATGTTGCTAACTACTGGGGTTGTTCAGCCATGACAGAAGGGTGGGCAGCAGGGTCATTGCCAAGACCCTGCTTTTCTAGGAAAGGAAGGGAGTTCCATCTGTTACCATTATTTTAGTAACCTGACCCTATTTACCGTTTATTCCTATAAAACCTGGTTTCTCTTACACCCTCACTTGTGAGCAGGGCAGTAGTGCTCATTGTCACAGGTACCAGGGGGCTGCAGTTTCATTTCCTGCATTGTAGTTGAAGTTGGGTGGTTTTGTTTTTAAAGGAAGAGCCTCTTGGTTGAACCTGAACAAAACGAGTTGGAAATGTATATACATATGTGTGTGATGGTGCATATAATGGCTGCATGGGAGTGCTGGTTTCTGACTTACAGTGGGATTTCGGAGGTCAAGGCAAGGGCAGCTGCTATGGATAAGTCTGAAGGGCTGAAAGTCTCCTCTTCCTCACTTCCAGAGGCAGACACATGTAAAAGAATCCAGACAAGGTTCCACAATCTCATAAACTCACAGTTCAACAGGTGGGAATGCTCAGTGTGGGGTACAGAGCATCCTGCTGGACCCGGCTCTCCCTGCCTGTCCCCAGCTCTGTGGCTCACCTGGTTTTGAACTTTTTCTTCCTAGTGGTGGAGGTCATCTGCAAGCTGTGTTGCCTCTCCTCCTTGTGCTCCTCCTCTCTCTGGTGGAAGAAGGTTCGGGTTCCCATGATGGGAAGTCAGAAATGAATTTTCTTGCTGGACTAGAATAAGATATAAAGTGGTTTTTAAATAAGACACTGTAACAGAACCTCTTTAGGTTATCCTAAGTCCTTGCTTTGCTTTGACGTTCAAGGGCTGTGAACAAAAGTTCATAGGATATTGTCTTGTGGCATTCAGACTGTGAAAGGGGTTTGTTTCGAGATGCTATTGGGAAAAATGGAATGAGATGGAGAAAGAAGAAATCAGTAAGTCTCCAAAGGCAGCTAAAGCTGTACCACAGCAGTAAGCAGTCAGCCTTCTGTAGGTAGGTTTGTTTTCCTGGGACTGAGGTTATGCTCTAAAGCTGGTGGATATTCTCCCAGGGAGTTCCATTAGATCAGAGCCCCAATATAGCCCGCAGACGGATGAGGAGGGATTGGAGGGACACAGGTTAGGGACAAAAGAAAGAACACCAGATGGTGAGAGATGGAGGAGGAGTTTAGGAAATAAGCAACTTTTCAGTCTGCAAACACTATTGCAGGCGTAGGTGTGATGCCAAGCAGCCCACGACCAGTGGTGATGGCCCTGTGTGCTGACCCAGCCTGGAGCTGTGGGGTTAGGTGGGCGATGCTGCTGTGCAGAAACCACTGGGAGTCTGTGGCAGCTGGAAAATCCGAGTGGGTTTTCTGGAATTAACCTGTTCCAGATGCCGAGGTAGAGCACTTCTTCAGCCTGTATTCCTACCTGCCTAGCTGGGCTGCTGACAAGGTACAGTTCAGTGCAGTTCAGGATAATGCTTTATCCAGTGCTTTGGCTGGATCCAGAGAGATCAGGTGTGTCTTCCTAGGACTTACAGAAGGTTGATAAATCCTGGAGAAAGCTTAGCACCCTTCAGAAAGTTCTCTTCAAAGGAGCTGGTCAGCGAACAGAGCAGCATTCCCAGAGCAATCCCTCCCCTGCAGGTGAACCACAGGGAGCAGCATCGGTGTTCCTGGCTCCCGTCCCTCTCCTGCAGTTGTTGCTGAAGAGCTGGGCTATTGCTGCAGCCTTTTGTCGGGAAATAAGGAGTGCTGCTTTCAGACACTGAGTAAGGAGGGGGCATTACACAAACTAAATCTTAAAGGTGTCCTTCCTTACCTCATTCTGTCCTGCAGCGGGCTCACAAACGTACAGCCCTTACCCTGTGCACATATGCAAGTTCGGAGAGCTCAGGTTGCTTTGTAAAAGCAGCTTTGGAAATGTAATTGTTGCTGACTAATATTTGTTCAGTCACACTTGCAAAGATTTCCCTTGCTCATGTTCCAGTATTGAATTTTTCCCTTGGCAAATTCCACACCCAGATTTTACCTTTCTAATCCTAACGGGATAAACAGCCCAAACCCCTCAGCTTTTACAGCACTACAGCTTGCTGTTAATGGAAACACATTCCTTAAAAGCAGCTCATGGAAAAGCACAGTTGTACGCAAAAGCAGAGTTGTGGTAAATGCAAAATAGTCCCAAATGCAAATGAACATACAGAATTACCATCGTAATATATCCTCAGCAGACACTAACTTTGGAAGAAACAAAGAAATGTTGGCAAGTATAAGGAAGAGAAAATAAAACAGGCTGCTATGGAAAAAGTATCTGTGTAATGTCATAGGATACTCCTCTCCTCAGGACTGTTTCAGCTGCAGAATGGCCACTGGGCATCAGATCTTTGTTTCCATGTTCAGGAATAGTTATCGACCCCAATTAATATTTTCAATATGATCTTTTTTATGTTTCCTTGGAAAATTGTCCGTGCTTTATAATGTGGTGGTTAACGTAAAGACGCGGTGTTTGCGTCTGTTAATGAACTGACCTGTACTTTTCAATCCAAGTATTTGATTTTCTAAACAGACCAGTAACCCAGAACAGATTCTTGTGAGAGAACGTGAATTAAATCAGTATTTTCAGAAGAACAACACTGGGAAAACACAATTACACGTTAAAGCAGATCCCGTCACAAAGCAGTCTATTTCTGAAATGCAATTCAAATACAATGAGCATAAAAATAACTGATGCTGATATGAAGATCTTATAAAATCTTACTATAAACAGTAGTTTATTTACAGATAAACCAAACTCACCCTGTGAAGACAACAGTGCGAGTGCCTGTCCTCGGGGAGGAGAAGGGACAACGGAGCAGTTCCTTCTCCCTCTTGATGACACTAAGAATGACTCTCCCCAAAAGAATGTTCCCCATGTTTGAGTGCCCATCCTGGAGTCTTAAATATAGCGTCCGGCCGTGCCACCGCGGGGACAGTGGGGAGACCCGACGGGGCTGCTGCCGTGGCAACTAACCACAGGCTCCTGTTCAGATCAGGCAAAGCATCTTTGCCAAAAGGTGTAAGGAAAGACAGGCGTCTCCAAAATTCAGGCATGAGGGTATTGGATTATCAACTGCTCATTGAGGATAGGAGCTCACAAAGCATCTAAAATGAATGATGAATATTTTAGTCTCCTGTAGGAATTCCCCTGATGTTAACGTTACTATTGCTGCTATTGAGTGAAATTGTTTGCTTTGACATCTCTAGTGAATGCCAACTCCAGCCAAATCATGCCAGTGTATAATTAGATGGGGAGCTCACAGCAGCTCTCATGTCTTGGTTGGCTGCAGCTGCTGCACTTCCCTTACTGCGAGCGAAGGAAGCCTTGCTGCTGCCAGAACACTGAGCACCCAGGTCCAGCTGCCCGTGGTGGTATCTGAGCCTCTGCGGTGGGGTAAAACACCAGTGGCTGCTGGTTTGCCATTCATTCGAGGCAGGTTTGTGGTTTTGGCATTCACTATAAACATAAACTCTTCCCAGCAACGTGAGAAGTGGGGGCTGGTTTTTGTGGTGTTAGAAGGAGAAATGAAGGTTTGAACGTAGTGAAACTCTGGGGCTGCAATACCAGCGTGTGAGCCAGGTATTTTCCAGCTACATGTTATTAGAGGATCAGCACATCAGTCGTGGGCTTCTCAGGGCTGCTGGAAGTCTGGAACAGGATGTGTGCAAACAGAAGATTGCCACGCTGGATGAAGCTGAAGGTCTGTTCAGCCCAGTGTCCTGTCTCGAGAGTGGCCTGTAGCTTGTCCTGAGCTGGAATCAGTGCTTTATTGTTTCTAATAATCTTATCCCTTTCTGAACACTCTTTGGTTCTGGCCTCCACAGGGTCCTGTGTAAGTGGATTCCACCACCAAACCTGGCACAGTTGGAGGCACCCTACCTGTATCAGCAGGATCCATTCCTAAGAACTGATGTTTGCTTCATCATCAAAATAAAACCAAGATGAACCCCAACAGGATCATTCTCCCCTCAAGCCCGGTGTGTATGTGAAGCCCTGCTGCTCCACACACAAGGGCTTCTGTGTGAAGTTGATTTAGTTGCTCTGTGTCCAATATTCCTAAGAAAGCAATGAAGAGGAGTGGCTGGGCAGGCATGGCTGAGTATGATCTGGTGTAAGCTGAGCTGCCAAGGTGAATGTGCTCTTTTATTGCTTTTGAACAATTGCGTGACCACTCGAGTGCTTTCCTGCATTCGTATTATGAGAAGTAATGCGTAATTAGCATCTGTTCTGCCTAAGATTAACAATTTCCTTAACCTCTTGTCAAATCAACCCTCTGTTGCGTGTTTTAAGGAGAAGAATTTTAGCTTCTCTCTCCATCTGAATGGTGACTGCTTTTGTCACCTTTTTCTCACAATAATGTCCACCGCTCTCATTATCTCAGCCTGAGAAGGAAGGAGATGTTCATGGACAGTTTAAACCCTCTGAACCAAGCGTGAGGCCACTGCTGCACTGAATCTCCTGTCACTAACAGCAGAGCTGGTAGGCCAGTGTGGTGCCAGAGCTGAGGTACAACCTCTGCTGTACCAGGGCGCCCAGGACTTTCAGAGCTGCCCCATAGCTCTGCTTCATTCCGCCTCCAGAATTCGGCACTTTTAGTTTGTTCCCGAGGGAGATTTTCCTCCACGGACGTGTTAAAAAGTCATCAGTGATTCTTTTATAGTCTTTAAACAGCGGCAGAGCGAAGGAGGGACAGCACGAGCCTCAGCGGCGTGTGCAGCCCTGTGCCGGGGCAGACACGGCTCCTGGGTTGAGCCGGGAGGACAAAAGGTTAATGGTGGCGATTGGGTGACAGCTGCCGCATGTGTGCTGATACCCCTGTGACAACTGGGACTGCAATGCTCACCTGTCCTCGGCCTGGGAATTAGCATGGCCTTTGTGCGAGGCACTTGGAGTTCTTGTTATCTAGAGCTATTGAAACTGTTATCTGGAAAAATCAGGATAAGGAGGAGCAGGCTGCTGTAAGGTAGGGATGGCTGATACAGGGAGACCTTTGAATCCTGAATGTCCTTACACAGATGGGACAATCGAGTCCTGTACCTGTTTGCTGTGATGCCTTTTGACACAGACAAGGCTGTCAGTTTGGTTCTGAAAAGCCATGAAATGAAGGCAGTAAAGTCAGGGCATGGTGATGGGGGTGGACCAGCACTTTCCTCACACAGCCACAATAAAGTTCAGTGATGGCAACATCTCTTTCCAAGTCTGTCCAAAGAGGAATAGTTTTAGAAGGGATGATCTTCCTGTTAAATTTAAGAGGTGACTCATGAGACAAGAATCAAACTCCTCCTGCTTAATATATCAAGGCCTAAAAGACAATAACTCATCCGCGATCAGAGCAGGAAGTTGGGAATATAGCTGTCAATCACTTCACATGCGCTCTAAAAACCTGGTCCCCGGCTTTCTGTGCCTCGGTTCCCATCTCGCCTCCTGGGCCATCAGGATGATAGTTTATTACAGGCTGGATGTGATCGGACTGCATGACAGGGCTCTGCTGAGGGACTTGAAAAGGCTTTTAAATGGAAAATGAATTTTCTAGCTGTATCTTCAAATGCCCTCCTAAGGCCCCCTCCCCTTTCACACTATGCTGCCCTTACTAATCCAGTGCTGAGGGTCCTGTTTCACAACAGGAGCCAAAATGTTGTCATTGTGGCATTTGATTACTCCCTGGGTAACGTCCCTGGGAATGCTGTTGACACAAGATATGCAGCTCACAGGCAACTCTGACTAAGGTAACTGGCATCACTGGCTTGTCCTGCAGCCGCTCCGGGGGGAGCTGGAGGGTGGAATGTTACGGGGGGTCTCACACCCGTGGGGAACAGCACAGCTGGGCTCTGCGCCGGCGTTGCTGGGTGCTGAGGGTTTGGTGCCATAGTTTGGACGCAGTACATGAAACAGCTCAGACGACATTCCACAAAACCTTTGATCCTGAATGGCATGAAGTAAAGCTGACACAATGGAAACGTCCTTCCTTGCTGCCCAGACCGTGCACATCCTCAGACCAGTCATACCCAGTGCCGGGACAGCTCCGCACCGCATCTGGCATTTTAACCGTTTGGCCTCATCATCTTTGTTTGTTACCAGTGCTGGAGTCAGGGGCTGAACTTTTGCCTGTAAAGGTTCTGAGACTAATCCTGTAATGCTGGGTTGAGTCACCAGACCCCTTTCCTTCATGAGACTATGGTTTATTTGCAAAATCACTCCAAAACAAGTGGAATTTGGGCTTTCGCCTCAGCTCCCCTGGGCTGCGAGAACACGTGAGGGGCTCACGGTGGGAGCAGGCGAGCTCTGCTCTGTCAGCCTTTCCCTGGCCATGCCTTCCAAGCGAGTGCTTCCCATGCCACTCGCAGCCAGGATCATTCGTGCAGTTTCAGTTCTCTATGACGGCTGTCATCACACACTCCACTTTTTCACCACACCAGTGGAAATCAGCAGGCTGAACTGTGCTTTCCCCTTAATGAAACAATTGCCTGCTCTGTCCCCCGGTAAACACCATTTCACTTGCTTTTGGTAAAGGTGCAGTGCTAAAGGAATTTGTCTCTCAGTTTCCACTAGGTTTGGTTTATTCCAGCCCTGGAGGTGGCTGCATTGGTAACAGGGGCAGGGGAGGGCTCAGCAATCCTTTGCCATGCAAAGGGAGCACGTTCCTCATCCACAGTGTCAGTGAAGGGTGGGAGGAAGCAGCTCAAGACCTCCCTAGTTTCCCTCACAGATTACTGAGTGCATGAATTGAGATTGGTGTGAATTACGACTGAGGGTTGAACGGAGAGTCATGTAAATCCCCACGTTCCTGCCTCTGTGGGATGTGCTCCTGGCTGCTTTGTCCCTGGGGATTTTAAGGGAACGTGTGTCTGTTTCAGGGAAAGAAATGAGCAGCAGCTGAGAAATACACCCAGGCAGGGCCCAGACTGCACTAATCTGTGGCAGAGATGAGAATGGCTTTGTCTGCCCACAGGCGTTAATGGGCACAGAACTGCTGCACCAGGAGCTATTTGTACAGCTTCCGTGGCTGCTTTAAAGGCCAAGTCCACTTCATGGCAATAGCCTGTTGTTTTGCACAAAGCATATATCCAAGGGTAGAACACCAACAGATAGTTGATTCTTTTACTGTACCATGATGAATTTAATGCTTTTAGGTTTGCATATGTCTGCACCTGAATTCAAAGGATGGGTATGTCTTGGACCTGGGTCCTTGTGTTGGTAAAGAGCAAACATGGTTTCTGTTGTGAATTTTGCTAATTCAGTAAACTGAATCTGGAATTTGAACTTGAATCTTAACTCAGCTTTGAAAGTAGTCCAATTCATAATACATGTGAAGAGTATACGAGAAATAAAGGCCTGTTATTTAAGTGCAAAGATACAGTATTTCAGTGTGCCAAGAAGGATTTAAATCAGCAAGGGTAACCATCTCCCCAACAGAACAGGGGGAACAGTCTGACAGCTCTGGGCCAGTAACACAGCCAAGGTGAGTTGTGTCTCTGTGCATTGCATGGCTTGCAGGGTGGGCTGCCATTCCATACAAGCAAAGTAATCTGGAATTCAGTATCATTAAGGCAGCTTAATAAAACTCCGTGTTTTCATCCTGATCCCACAGTACTTTTAAGTCCAGGTCTTTGAACAGCATAGTGAGAGGAGTGCTGCTGTCCCGGCCTGCGGCAGTGTCTTGGGACACAGCGTTACCCAGTTTTGTGCAGCTGAGCCCCTTTATTGCTGTTAACGTTTCCATTTCTTGAGTCTCTGGGAACTGCAGTTTATTTGCAGGATGTGAGAATGAACCTGGCAACACCCAGCGCTCCGGGGTGCGCTCCGCAGGGAAGCTGTTGCCAGCACTGACTGAGAAAAGGAGAGCTTCTGACAGGGGTGACAGCAGCTTGTCCTCCGGAGCACAGTCTGTGTCAGCTGTCACTGCAGGCACTTCTGCTGTCTGTTTTCTGTAGCATCCTCCTTGTTCCGGCAAAGGCAGTGGCAGCCGGGATACAAGCACTTTCCTTCCCATCCCGTCAGTCTGCAGCAGCAGCTGCTGTGTTTGCTGAGGGCTCCCCTCTAAGAGAAACGTCTCCCCTGTGTCACTGCTGTCCCACAGTGCCAGGTTTGGTCCCTGTTCTTTGTAATTCCCATGGTCGTGGCTCTTGCCCAGCACCTGTGTTCTGAGCTTCCCACCAGCAGAACAATCCGGAGGGACTCCC